TACCTTTTCTTCGATTGTACCAGCAGTAATAAGTCTGTAAATAGTAACATTTTTATTTTGACCAATTCTCCAAGCACGTTCTCTTGCTTGTGCATCAGTTGCAGGATTCCAATCAGGATCATAAATAACTACACGATTTGCTCCAGTTAAATTCACACCTAATCCTCCTACACGTGTCGTTAGTAGAAATATAAAATATGAGGTATTCTTTAAACATGAAAAAAATAATGTTATTTATATTATTATCAACATCGAATATAAGAAAGAGAGAGAGAAAGAGAGAAAGAAAAAGAGAGAAACAAAGATAGAATGAATTATTTTACTTACATTATTAAAAGTATAAATTGTTTCTTGACGTTGTGACATAGGTGTAGTACCATCCATTCTTAAATAAGAATGATTCTCTCGTTGTAATAAAGATTCTAAAATATGCATCATCTGTAAAATAAATGTATTATTCTGTATAAAAATTTTCTTGTTAGATTTTTACTAATAATAAAAAATATAATATATAAAGAATTAAAACGCATACAAACCTGCCTTCCTTGAGTGAATAACAATACTCTATGTCCTTGCTTTTTCCATATTTTAAGTAAAGACTGTACTACAACCATTTTTCCTGCACGTTTCCAGTACCCAAATTTGTCTAAATCTTCTGACAAATCGATATCTTCATCCGAATCCTACATATGTTTTAATGGACATATTCATGGTAACAATTTTACAAACTTCATATAATCATTTACTTATAATCTTACCATTGGATTTGTATAAAGGTATAAATCTGGATGATTGCATATTTTCCTAAGAGCAGACAAGGCTATCAACAAACGAGCTCTGTATCTCCCAGTTTCTTGAAGAGAATTTTTTTCGTGTAAAACAAACGATACATCTTCTGATAATAAATGTTCTTTATATAATTTTCTTTGCTCGTCTGTTAAACTACAAAATAATACCTGGAACATAAATAAAAATAATAATTTAATACTGATATAATTATCTAACACAAATATAATAAATATACCTGTTCATTTTTTTCTGGCAAGTTAAGATAACGTTTTACATCAGCTTTAGTTCTTCTAAGTAAATAAGGTGTAATAGCTTCCTTAAGCATAGTGGCTATTTGTAAAGCTGTAGCTTGTTGAAGAGATGTAGCATTGGCATAACCACCCCGAGTTATAGGAGCAGCACAATGCTCTAAAAATGCAGGTAATGTGCCCAACTTACCGGGCAAAATAAAGTCGAATAAAGACCACAATTCTTTCAATGAATTTTGCATCGGACTACCAGTTAATAATATGCGATGTGGAGTAGAAAATTCTTTTACTGCTTTACTTATCTATAAAAATTAAATTTAATAATTTCTTTTTTTTTTTTCTTTTGCATAATAATGTCGACATAACTACATATTCACCTTTGCTTGAGGATTTCTTATTTTATGCCCTTCATCAAGAATAACATAATGCCACTGAGTATTTGTGAGTAAATCTTTGTGTTTAAGCATACCTGAATATGACGTTATTAGTATACCACCAGTTTCTAAAGAATTTATTAAATTCTCGGGATTCACTAAGGATAAATAAAAGAATATTGTTACATTGAAAAATGTACAGCACATACAAACACACACACACATGCATACATACACATTTATATTTATAATATTCTTTATATTTTAAAATGCTTGCCATCATACGTTCCACATTGGTGTAATACAGCAACTCTTAAAATAGGCCACCAGTCATGAAAATGTTTTACCCACTGCTCCATCAAAGTTGCTGGACAAATAATTAATGTTGGTCCCAATCCTCTAAATCTACACATTAAAATAAACATAAATTATCATTAAATAAAATGTTATTTATAAATTTTATGTAAATTTTTACCTTCCACCATCAGAAAGTAATTCACTGCAATCCAAACCAGCTAGAAATGAAATAACTTGTATTGTTTTGCCCAATCCCATTTCATCTCCTAATAGACCACCTAAATTATGATTATGAAGTTCCCATAACCATTGGACTGAGACTTTCTGATATCTATAAAAAAATTTAATAAATTATATTTATTAACCTCTACAAATACTTCTACTGTAAATTATTATATTTTTGATATTTTATATACCTATATAATCTTTTCCAAATAGACTGAGGTACTTTAAATAGATTATCCACCATATGTACAGGTTCATCTTTCATATTCTTATTCTTTTTTATTCTTGATAGATAAATCTGTTCATCTCCATCATCTAATACTAAAAATATAAATCGTATAAAAAGAAAAATAAATAAAAAATGTATCATTTATATTCGTCATACATACTTTTCTTTGTACTAATACATTTGGGCTTTGAATTACTACGTTTCTTCTTAGAAGTATATCTTCTTTGTTCCATATCTAAATGATAACATATTACAGATAATTTTATTGATCTTTTTATTATAATTAATAATTTATAAGTTTCATTTATAAATATATATATATATATAGAAAACTTACCAGAATCTCCTTCATCATCGCTAGGAAAATATTCGCTTTCAGAATGATTTAGCTCACCATCAGACGTTGTATTATCTTTAGTGTCACATTTGATAGATATACATTTTTTCTCGCTTGTATTAGAAGTACTAGCTAAATTTTTAATAGCATTTGTTTTTATTTGACTTGAACAACATTTAGAATTATTATTCCTTGACTTAAATGGTTTATTAGTTTCTATTTTCATTCTTTTATTTGGTATTGAATTATTTTCATCGTTATTTAATGATCTTGATGCTTTCTTCAAATGCTTTTTTTGTTTGGTAAGTTCGGCTTGTCTTTGAAAATACGTTTGAAGATCAAACAAATTCGATAATTTATCAAGTGTCCTAGACATATATAAAAAAATTCATTTTTATTATATTATGTCTTATTAGATATCATTGATATAAAAATTTTATTTACCCTTCTCGAGTATTTATTTCATGTTTCTCAATTGCTTGAAATGGTGTAATTTCCCCAGTCTTAACTTGATCTTGTAATGACTTATCATCACTATTACTATTAGTAATAGCTATTCTAATATTATCTTGAAATTTGGATTGACCTGAATGTAAATCAGATAATTCTTTTAATTTTTTTGATGCTTCTTGAAAAATACTTTCTTCACTTCTCACTGATATAATCTATAAAAATGAAATAAAAATACTTTGATGTTTCAAAAACAACGTACGTTTAATTACATGATTATCACAAAATCATGAATTCAAATATGATACGTATAAATCTTTACGTGATATAAATCACTATTTGAATATAAATATATATATATATATAAACGTAAGTATAAAGTATTGAATATAATAAAAATTAAAAACGTTTAATTTATAATTTATTAAATGATAAATTTAACCTTAGCCGATGAATTAATATCCAAGTCTTGTGTAGTTTCATTCTGCATTTCCTTTTCATTAAGTTTTTTTATTAGTACGTGACAATTTTCCATAGTTCAGTGCATAGGAACGATAGATTCTAATGGAATAAATAGTAAAGAAAAGCCTATAATTTTTTTTTTATTGAATACTATTTCAAAATTTGAAGTAAGTAGTGAAGTAGGGACTCGTATGAAATTTTTTATATATATATATATATATAATATATATATATAACGGTCTTGTAAATATACATACATATATAAATATAAATACAACTGCACTTCGTATTTTTGCTTTTATATTAATATTCCTAAAAATATTCTCAAAGTACAATAAATGCGATGTGACTGTCACGATTTTAATAAATTCGCTTACATGTTCGTTTAAGATAGTTCATTGTCTCTGGTTTTATAATGGTTTAGATCAACGATGAGAACATGCGTAATTCGTAACTGATTTTGATGAACAAGATATCATTTTAAAGATGAAAGTTTAATCTAGGATTCTGCTTTTACGAATTTTTGAAAAAGCTTTATTTTCTTTGAAAAAAAATCATGTTAAGAAATGATATTTTTTTCGAGAATAATTTATTCACGAATATAAAGCTTTTTAAAAAATTATAAAAAGCGGAATCTTAGATTAAATCTTTGTCTTTAAAATAAGATATTTTTCATTAAGACTGGTCAAGAATTATGTATTTTCTCATTGTTTCCATAAATGCTGTTTTCGACATTTTTCGCAAAGAAAAAATTTTGTATAGTGGCGCCCTTCGAAATCAGCGGCAAAAGAGAAGAAGCTCGTATCTCAGTAGTGATTTTCATATACACGTTTGAACGGTGTATGCTTTGTTCTGTGAAATAAACAATCTATTCCATTTTCTATTCTATATTTTAATATATTCCAAATGCAAAGAAATAGACTTCACGCTGTTCGTTCATGTCAATGGATTTGAGTTTCTAAAATATTGTTAAATTTTGGAAAAATTTATAATTCCTTTTGGATTTTATTGATTAAAAATATAGAAATTCTACAAACAATTTATAGCGCATTACAAGCGTTGAATTACATTCATAATTTAAGAGTCGCGTAGGTTCTCTCAAGACTGGGAAAGATTTCATTGTTTTTTTTTTCTTTGTTATATCGATGTAAATAAAAATAATCAACTAATTTATTTTTTTTTCTCATTTGATAGTTTAAAAATAATAGTATTACTGCTGTATCAGACCTTTTATATTTATTTCCTACTTTCATAGTTGACTTGAGTTTATCGATGTTCTGTGTTAGATAGAACACAGTAGCGGTATAATTTGATCTAATGACAAATGCATATAAAATATATACGTTCGTCGATTATTTTTTCAACAATTATAATTAGTAAATATACACTTATACATTATACACTATTTTTATAAAGATCAAGTTCCATATTATTTACGAGATCTTTCTCCTAGCGTTATTTTTTTTTTTTATAATTTCTTCCATAGTTGAAAGTCCACTTTATATTATTACTATAATTACTATTATTATTATAATAATAATAATATATAATATAATAATATAATCGGTATATATATATACTAATTATTTTTAAACGAAACATTCCATTAAATTTTGTCAATTATATTTATTATTTTGTATGCATTTGAAACAAATGCATACTGACACCTTGATCACTGTAAGACCAACATTACTAACAAAAATTATATACATATAAAAATGGCGTTTTCGAAACCAAAGGAAATGATATTAAATTTCGCAAGTGTATATTTTCAATACCTTTATAGTAATCCGGTTAAAACAAAAGCAATTTCCAGGTAATTTTATGTATATACATATATATATATATATATATATATGTGTGTGTATGTACATATATACACAATGTCGCAAAGTATGGTTATATCTTAGTTTTATGTTGTACAAAAATTTTTATAAAAATATTCTTTTGTAGCTGCATTATTAATGTTTTGGGAAACTTAGTACACCAGAAGTTAACTGGCGGGAAATCTATAGATGAAGATAGACTTATTGCATTTGGTCTTTTTGGGTAATTTATATATAATTAATATTATATATATATACTATATATATACATATAATATATACATAGTATATATATAAAATATATATATATATATTTCACATTTTTTTTAAATATCTAAGACATATATAATAATATGTTACAGATTGTTATTAGGAGGTTCTGTACCACATTACTTTTATTTATACACACATTCCTTGAGAAAATATCCATTGACTTTGCTTTTGATAGAAAGATTGGTTTATACACCTTGTTTTCAAGCATTAACGTTATACATACTTGCTCGATTAGAGGTAAATTTGATTGACTGATGAACATAATTTCTGAAGAATGATTTTAATATATAATATTATTATTACCAGGGTAAATCTCACAAAGCCTCTAAAGAACAATTACAAAAGCTTTACTGGCCCGTTCTTCTAGCTAATCTCAAATATTTAACTATATTTCAATTTATCAATGTAAAATATGTTCCTTCAGTGGTACGTATATAAAATTTTAAATTTAATATTTTTTTATGCTTACTTTAATAATCTTTTTTATTTCTTTTTTTATTTCATTTTAGTTACGCACATTAATATTAGATATAATCAGTTTTATATGGTCGATTTATCTCACTAATGAATGCAAAAAATCAACTGTTACTGATAAGAAATCAAAGAAATAATATCTTAATATAATGTTATTGATTTCAATTGGTACGTATTAAAAAAATGAAATAAACGAAACAAAAGTAACACACACATATATATATATATATATAGGTTTATATGAATTATATAATAAAAATGTAAAGATTGTTTAAATTAATATTTGGGATGTATTTCATGAAATATATTGTATAAAGTTGTTTGCAAATAAATGTGGTTATTGGTGTAATTAATAAACGGCTCTAATGTTCAAGCTTTGATTTAATCACACAACAACAATACAGAATATGTTACAGGAATGATCAGGTATTATCAGACACACACACACAGATATATATACATATATATATATATATATCTGTTTTCTTTTAATGATAATAACAGTTGATCAGTTAAATTGTAAACAGCAAATATTGCTGTCAAAAGCTAGTGGTGTACTTTAAGATAATGAGAGAAATTTGAACCTATCTATTTTTATTTTGATCCTTAAAGGAAGCATATGTTCATAATAAGTAGAAAAGTTTTAATGGTATATAATTAACTATATATGAGATCCAAATTAAGCAACAAAAAATGGTATAGGTAAAAAGATATTAAATATGAAATACTTTAAAGGCTTAAAAGAATAATCAATAGATAATATAAATATATATGGTAATGATCACCACTGCGATTGACAAATATATTTGATAAGTTGTATCAGTCATTACAATGAACTAATGTTATTTAGGACTGTGTAAAGTACTTTTTATAACTGTTTTCAGAAAAAAATGTAGGACACAAATCAATTTTTTGTACTATTTACCACATTAGATTAGAAAAAGAAAATTTCTGTATAAAACTGTGGTAGAACAATAGATATAATAATTAGAAAGAGATCTTAAATATTTTAAATGTTTGTAATAGTACTTTATTCAGCCCTAACATTATACAGGTCTCTTCTATTTATAAATAATGTAGATTTTCCAAACATGTTTTTTTCAACCTTATATATACATCTTTAAGACTTAACTCTTGAATAAATAAGACTAGAGTCTAGTTATGTCTTTTGGTACGCTGCCCGGTCTTATGACCAAATAACATTTATGACTTATTTATATATAGGTAAGTGGAGTATTGCAAACAAATATTCATTGCTATAATTCCCTCTGTACTTTGTCGAATATTTACCATGGACAAAGCATTACATATATATATATATATATATATATATATATATATATATATATATATATATATATAAAATTTAATAATTAAATATTATTTAATGCAAAAATATATATAAATAATAAATAAATAAATAAATAATAAATAAATAAATAAATAATAAATAAATAAATAATAAATTAATAAATAATAAATATATAAATAAATAAATAAGTGAATACTATTATATATTTATAAAAAGTAATTTATACTGAATACAATAGAACTGAAATAATCTTCCTAAAGAATAGGCACATCTATTTATACAAGTAATGGCAGGAAAACATTGCACAGGAAAAGTGACTTACGATCATTTTTCAAATAAGTTGAACTTTAAGAACATTATTTCTCACTAGAAACACATAAAATTTGACTAGCACGTGTTTGTATAACAAACAACTTTACACAATCAAGTAATTACTAAAATGTACATACGTAGTATTATCAGTTAAAATGGAGAATTGTTTGTTTTTTCTTTAGAAATAATAAATATTAAATCATTATATAAATTCTTAGAGTAAAGATGTTCAGTATCAATGATATAATCTCCTATTCTTATATTGCTTATACAATGTTAAAGTTTATGGTGTTAGGACACACATCGTTTCTTTTCTTTTCTTTTTCTTTTTTTTTTCTTTTTTTTTTTTAGAAAGATTCCATTAGTTCAAATCTAAAGGATGTAACTTAAACACTTTTCTTTTTTTATAAAAGTCCCATAAGTTACACATATTACCATTATTATTAAAATATCATCTTTCCAAACGTTATTTAATACGTTTTCGAGAATAAATTATAATAAAATAAATATTATATTAACTTAACTTTAGTTTACTATACAAAGTGCTTTATAGTATTGTTCTCCCAAAATGCATGCATCGTATCGACTACAAATATGATCTATAATCTCTTTTTTTGGAAAGAGGATCGATTATCCGGAAGGGGAATAATACTAATATACTTAAGTTCATAATATTTAAGAGATGAGAGCAACCATCAATGAGTATTATCGAGTTAGAAGATTTAAAGGAGAGCAAATTTGTTCGTAAAGAATTTATGAAGAATTAAACTATATCTATCAAATTTGGAATGAAATATGTAATAAACTATAGATAATCTCTTAGGTATGTGCTATTATAAACAAACAAATGAACTTATTCCAAATTTGATATAATAGAAAGGAACATCATGTTCTCTTTTAAGGACAATTCGATTAATACGTTTCAACGTGTGTAAGATGGACTTCGACTCGGAGAGCAGCTTGATCGATGACTCTGACTCGACCAGTTACTGTGTCTACTGCTCTCTGAACTACTTGGTGATGAAGGCGGCGTTGGAGTTGGTCGATGATATGGAATCGGTCGTTTCCTGGCACTAAAATTAATGAGTGTAAGTATCATGATAAAAAGGAGGTCGTATATAGCTCCAATATGAATTCTGAATGAAACTGAATTATATTTGTTATATATATAGATATATATATCAATTGTTATATCATAAAAATGTTCACGATAAATTATATCTAATGGTCAATTAATATAAATGAAATATCATTTAATAGTTCTTGATAATATATCGTATTAATACATATTACTTTGTTAACGTAGTCAGATATATATGTTTCAATATTTAATCGTAATTATTATTTCAATCAAATTGTTTTTTGCGAGCATGCTTATGAAACGACGTCATGCAAATTGCAAAAGTGAATCATGCAAAAGAAAAATGTGTTACTTACCTTGCAAAAATTATAACTATATATATATTTTTTTTTCTACTTATAAACACAGTGAAAATATAATTGGACTAAAAAAAGAAGCTCTTAGACTAAAATAAATGAATATTTTATTTTTATGTGATCGACTTTAAAATAAAATAAAAAGAATCAAATTCTACTGTAAATATTTAAATTTACAATAACTTATAAGAAAATACACACATGCTACATCTACATAACATTTATAAGTCAATAATGAGTATATATAGATATATATAAAGAAAAATTAACGAAATTATGATAATTTAGTTTAAAAAAAAAAAAATTTATATATGCGAATACTGGGACACTTTGTTGATTTAGTCTAACTTCGTTCGACAATAGACATTGTATGAATGAGGAGACAAAATGTGCTCGACATCAAAACTATTTAAATTCATAGAGAAACAACTCCATTTACACTTATTTTAAAAGCGGTATTAAATAAACAATTCAATATATTTTTGTTTTGCATTATAATCAAGTTAAGCTATGCGAATTCTCAAATATATATATATCATTATTATACTGTTCCAATAATTGTGAACTCTGAATGAAATCACATAATAAGTTTTTTTCTGTCGTAAAGAAAAAAGACTAATATGAAATTATTGCTATGTCAACTGTGTAGTAAAGTAACAAATGTCTGAGTGTAGCCATAGTTTTATCTTCTATGCCTGCCCCTCGATCTGTCCCTGTTTGACATAACAAACACAAAATAGTATTAGAGAATTACCTAATGTATAATAACTTAATAAAAATATTTATAAGAGAGAGAGAGAGAAAGAGAGAGAGAGAGAGAGAGAGAGAGAGAAAGAGAGAAAGAAGAGATTAGCAAAGAATTGTAGACAAAAATTTCGCTTTTATTCCCTTGACATATTTTCAGGATTTCTATTTTATTTCTCAAATACAATATTTGCTAATTAATACAATGTAGTAAAATGTTTTAAAAGAAATTTCGAATTCAAAAGACTGAGATAATGATAAAACGGAGGGGTAGGAAAAAATAAAAAATAAAAAATAAAAAATAAAAAATAAAAATAAAAATTAAAATAAATAAAATAAAATCTAAATAATAAGCAATATACTCTACAAGAATTGATGAAAAGGGATATTACAGATTTACCTTGGTGCATTTTGTGTGTAAACATATTGCTATAATAAAAGAATTTTTCTAATTACACGATTTACCTTGTAATACGACGTCTATCAAGAAAACTAGGCGAACCATGACGACGTGGTATAGACGGTGAACGGGATCTACTAGAACCCGAACTGCTGGAAGTTGAGCGCGAGGATCTACTAGAAACGCTGCTGGTTGATCGTGTAGAACTTGAAAAACTGCGACGACTATGCCTTGCCGAACTAAACATAATTTGTTTATATCAATTACACATATACACATACACATACACATACACATACACATACACATACACATATACATACGCACACGCACACACGCACACACGCATAGGCATATCAGAAAATATAGAAAAATATATCAATGTAAATATCGAAAGATCCATACCTGACAGAAGAACGAGAAGTACTTCTACTTCTACTTCGTTTTTCTTTCTCTCTTGACATCCTAGAGGCCGATCTAGATCGACTTCTTGATTTTTTTGATAACGAACGACTCCTGCATTTCTTTGAGGCTGAACGACTTCTCGATTTTTTGGACAAAGAACGACTTCTTGATTTTTTAGTTACCGAACAACTTCTAGATTCCTTCGACAGAGATCTACTTCTGGATTTTTTCGATAAAGAACAACTTCTAGATCTTTTTGACAACGATATGCTTCTACTTCTAGATCTTGACTTTCCAGGGGATTGAGAAGGTGACTTCTTCGATCTTGATGCGGATCTCGATGGAGAGTGTTTTGATCCAGAGGAAGATCTTGACCTTGATATTCTTTTCGAATGTGCTTGAAGAGAATTCGGTGATTTCTTTGATCTAGACCCAGATCTCGATGGCCTATGCTTTGGAGATACGGATTTTTTGCTACGAGCACGCGAACGCGATCTATTTCTGGATAAAGATCTTGAACGATGTCTCGGTGATCTGGAAGACTTCTTTTCCAAAGATAATGACCTTGTGTATGATCTTGACGGGGATCTGGAATATGATTTCTCTCTTAAAGAATGTTTCCTAGGTATTGGAGAATTTCTTTTAGATGTACTTGGAGATCGAGATCTTGTGTCGGATTTGTTAATAGTGTCACTTGGTAAAGATGGTGGTGACTCACTTGGAGATCTTAACTTTATTATAACATCTTTGTGAGAAGTCGCGATAGGTGGTGAATGCGTCAAAGAATTACTTTTTGGAGAAGGTTTCTGGACAATTATTGGAGAACTCCTTTTAGAATTACTAGGACCCGAAGAGAACTGTTTTGTTGTTATTGTTGTTGTTGTTGTTGTTGTCGCTGTTGTTGGTGTTGTTATTATTGTTGTTACAATTGCCGACATAACAGGTGACTTTGGACTAGTTTTATCCAATAGTGTTTGCGACAAGAGAGGTGGTGATTCGCTAGGCGATCGAATTTTTATAGCAGCTTCTTCACGAGTCAATGGTAATGCTGGTGAAGGTGATCGACTGGAAACTGGTGACTGTACAGGAAGTAACCGTACAGGTGATATTAATTTTTCTTTGGAAGAAGAAGAAGAATTTGTTGGGTCTTCCGTTAGTTTTGGTGGTTCCACCGGTAATGCTATATCGAAAACCGATTCTTCTTTCTTTTCTAATTTAACTTTTACAGGACTTATTACCTTTTTCCCTAATGTTTCTCTAGCCTTCGCAGCTAATCCACTTTGCAAACGTTTCAACGTGTTCAATTCCTTAATTTTTTCCTCATCTTCTTGTTTCGGTTCATCGTCCGCTATATCACCCTCATCTTCACTAGAAGATCTCAAACTTACTCGCGGTGTAATCATTTGTATTTTTCTACCTTTCGATATTGATCGAGATTTTTGTCTAACAACATCCCGATCTCTTTTTTGTTCTCGCTTTTTCTTATCTTCTAATATATCCTTATAACGTTCCGGGTTTTTCCGTACTGGTGAATAACTCAAAGACGATCGTCTAGATCTACTCTTGGATCTAGTACGGCTTCTACGACGTTCCTGCGATTTATCTCTCCTTTCTTTTGGTCTTCTTGGAGATCTAGATCTTTTACGAGAATCTGATCTCCTACGTCTATGTATAGGAGAAAGTCTACGTCTTGATCCATAACGATCATATCTTGAACGACTTCTACTTCTTGAAATAGAAAATCTATTGTAACGTCGCGGTGATCTTGAAATCCTTCTTCTTCTTGGAGAAGATGTTACGCGTCGTGATCTCGAATATCTTCTTGGAGATCTTCCTCTGTCTGCTCTACCTCTGGATGGAGATCTATGACGTCTAGGTGGTGGGGTTTTATGTGTAATCGGTGGTGACTTGTCCCTTTTATCTATAATAGTAGTTTTCTTTGTGGCTGATTCCTTTTTCTTTATAGGTGGTGTTTCATTGCGAGATGATCTTTCTACTGCTTTTTTTGGAGATCTATTTACTCGATATTCTTTTGTAACATTTTCACCGTCATCAAACGTATTCTTCTCTACAACAACTTTATCATATTTCGTTCTTTTCTTTGGCCTCTCTGGAGAACTAAAATATATTTCAAGTAACATAATAAACTCTATGAAATGCGTGAAAGAAATTGATTAAAATACTAATAAAAATTATTTCATTTACTTGTCTGTAGAGCTATCCGTTGATTGATGTTTCCTCTTTAGCGCTGCTTTTTTCTTCTATAAGAAAATAAATTTTATATTAATGAAAATTATTAAAGTAACTATCTTACATCAATCATGCAAACTGCTCATTCTGTGGAATCTGCTTATTCCTATTATGTCTTTAATATTTTTTTTTATCAATGACTTAATGTTATTCTCTTTCCTAGGTTTTTTTTCCTTTTTTTTACTTTTAATAGATTAACTTGGAACATCGATAATAATACATTAACGATACTGAATCAAAAGCTAATAATAGCTTAAACGAAAATTAACATATACAAATATATATATATATATATATATATATATATATATATATATATATATATATTTGTGCACAAATATATACATATATGCACACATATATCTCTTATAACAAGAGTAGTTATTCAAGAATAAGCAATTTCCTAAACTAAATTATTGCATAATAAGATAGTGCTTGTTACAAAACGAATATGTGAAATATACAACAATCATAAAAATTCGTACAAATTCGTACAAATAATAAATTTGTAATACGTATAATACACGAGTAGCGGCATATCTGGTACTCACTTAGGGAATGTATCCTGTCAAATGGCGCTGATAATTACAAACATACCGAGATTTATACTTAGAAATAATGACTGTTAACTTGAAAAATCAGATAAAATGTTAAGATAATTAAATAGAGCGAATTTCGTATATTTTGTTTCGAAAATAAATATAAACATAAAGATGTGGATAGTTTAATGTGAATTCGCAACTAATTCAATATAACAAACTAAAATGTTGCATGCTGTGGCATTACATGCTTCACCTTTCTGCGTTTGCTCGTTTATCGTGTATCCGTATTCATGCGTGCGTTATAGAAAAAGAGCAGGGGAAATTTTGCACATACTATTTTTTTTGTTTTTTTTTTGTTTTTGTTTTTAACGTTACAACATAATTTCTTACCTCAGATTTTTCTTTTCCTTCAACTTTGTTTTTCTTTTTTTTCTTCTTTTTCTTCTTTTTTGATTCAGCTTCAGACGAACTAAGGAACACAATATTAAATATTTTTTCATTATTACAAATTCCCATGTGAAAATTTATATTTTGTTTAATATTAATTAGAGATATTATAAATTTAATCTTATATATAATAATTACCAGCTCTCTTCGGTATCATCGCTGGATTCACTGTCAGATGAACTGGCCTCTACCTTTTTGTGCTTTTTCTCCTTTTTCTTTTTCTTAGCTTTTTCTTTCTTCTTGGACGTCCTTGGAGATTCGGACCTATGAAATTCGTATTGCATTAGACCAAAGATTCTCCAAAGATAATTGTTATGAATTTTTAAAAATGATATTTATATTTATTAATTCTTGCAGTGGGCGTCTTCCTGTCGACAAGTGCATACCTTGTGCTGACAATAAAGAAAGCCTTTGTAGTATATATATACTTGTGTGTCAAACGAGTATTTCATTTTAACTGCATAAGCTATCTCACGCTTAATGCTTTTAACCATATGTAACAGCGAATAGCTTTGTTTTAATAATCGAGAGAACACATTGCCAATAAAATTTCACACAGAAAATTCTTTGAGTATTGAGTTATAGTCCCAAATTGAAAAATAAAATCGAACTTACGTAGCTTTGGTAGTGCAGTGTATAATAATATCTTTCATAAATTATTTCAGCAAAGATTAATATATCACTGCAATTCCAAGTGAAAAACAAATAAAAGACGTAAAACAACGATAAATGCACAGGTGAAAGTCACAATGTTCCGGCTATAGCTAACGAATTGACTACATAAGTATCTTTTGTTTTTTTTCTTTTTTTTTTTTTTTTTTTTTTTTTTTTTGTATTTTTTATTTTGAAAGATTTAGTTTTTTCATTGCTTCTTTTAAAACATTAAAAAAAAAAGCTATAAATAATTACAAATTTGAAATTCTTCTCCTCTTTATAGAAAACTAAATCTTTCAAAAAGTTACAAAAGACAAGTATACAAAGTATGAGGAGTATTGATATAATATGGGATTAGCATTACCTTGATAACCATCGATAGGGACGGACTTGTCAGAAAAAAATAGAGAGATGACATTAACAACAAGCTTTATCGATAACAACAACAAAGATAGAAATGCATGAATGTACGCAACATAATGTGCGTTATATTAAACCTGTGCTTAGTGTTGTACGCCAGGTAAATGTTTGCCAATGATATTTGAATGATATTGTTTTGATCATCATTAATTGAAATCAACGAACAATAAGAGAAAATATTGTTATTGATTGGAAAACATGAATAAAGAAAATGCAACAAACATTTACCTCTAAGAAAAATTGCAATAAATGGAAATATTAATAATAGTTAATCGCGCCTACATTTATAAAGGACCTAAATACTCAATGAAAATATAATAAATTTAACAATTTATTTCGCGGTAAATAGCATATTATCTATTAAAATATTTCTTTTTTCTTTTCTTTTCTTTGCTTTTTTTTTTTTTTTGGTTCTGTAAATGTACGCGACGTCCATACTTACCTACTAAGCCTACTAGATAGGCATTCAGTCCTCCTTAGTTCTGTTTGAAACAGAGAAAGTTGTATGGGGCATGAAATAGTAGGCGAGTAATGATTCAGTATCCGATAAGTAGACGTGTAATAAGCAAATGAACGAGTGGAGTTGCGATAAATGAATAATTAATTAAGGAAAAATGGGGAACTACAGGAAGATGGATTGTGCAGTCTTGGAGCCTCGACTCGTATATGCCATCGCGTTGATATTACAAAGAAGATCAAAAGCTTTTTTTTTATATTTTTCGTTACGATTAATTAACGACGGCATAGTTTCAATATATAATCCAATAAATTTATTTGCATGTGTGTGTGTATATATATAAACATATATGAACAGATATATTCTTTCACTCCTCCTCTCTCTCTCTCTTTTTCTGTTCCCTCACATGCATATATATATATGTATATACGCACAATATATGTATATATATATATATATAGACACACACAACATGTATAGATATGTATGTACATATCTAATTATAAAACATAGCAAAAATCCGAGTCCAGTCTCCATTGACCTCTGCACAGTTCATTATTTTATACCTTTCTTTTTTATGCTTCTTTCCCTTTTTCTTCTTGGACGTGCTACCAGAACGTTTTCTTTTATTCTTCTTTTCCGGAGCAGAGGTAGTATCCGGAGCAGGGCTTGGAGTGCGAACTAATTCATAAACCTTGTTCGCCGCCGCTCTTGCCTCGGCTTCTCGTGCCCGCCTTTCCGGATCTAGGCTACTTCCTTCCACGAAGAATTCTGATATTCCAAAGGCTTCCCGCAATTTAGCATTTTTTTCTTGTTGTGCCTCGGCTATCTGATGTGTTTCTCGAACACTGAAATTTCAATGTTTGTGGTAAGATTTTTTTCTCATTAAACAATAATTATTAAGATTAAAAAAAAAAGGGGGAGGGAAGAAAAGAAGTAATAATAATGTCAATATTTGTCGATATCGACACTTCGATCATAATGATTAAAAAAGAAAAATACATGGGAGGAAAAAAGACAATAGAAACAACAACAAGAGCAACAACAATGGCTGACATGATCTTAAATATAAAAGATTGACCTACCGCGATGAAATTTTTACTGTCATCGTTGATAAACTATTTCCTTTTATTATTATTATTATTATAATTATTATTATTTTTAATTGAAATATTCACTAGCGATTTATTCAACTGGAAAAAATCAAAGAAAACGAGAGAGAGGGTGGGATCAAATGAAACAATTAGATATTAAAGAGATTCCAATGATGACGATGAGTAACAATAACTAAAGTTACTGGTGGCAAAGGCAGAAAGAAGTAGTGGCGATGGAAAAAGAGGAAGAGAATGAGGAGGAGGAGAAGGAAAAGTGACATAACATAGGGGGGGAGAGAGAGAGAGAGCGCGCGTAGAACACGCCGAGGAACCACCGTGCAGTCTCTCTTCTTCGCGAGGAATGAAAAGCTTCGAACGACTAGATCAGAGTGGGAGTAGGAGTGGGGATGAAGGAAGTCCGAGACGAGAGAGGGGAGAGGGGATACAGGGGGTGCAAGACGAGAGGGGGGAGTGGGGATGCAGGGGGTGCGAGAGGAGAAAGGGGAGCGTTCGCGAGCCACCCCTATGCCAACTCGCTCGACGGATCAATACAATCCAGCTGGTGATACTTTTTCCGCCATCCCCTTTCGCACACCATTCGTTCATTACACACATATATATATATATATATATATATATATATATATATATATGTGTACAAATTCGAAATTAGAGTTGACGAAAGAGAAACAATTATTTTTTCTTCTTCTTTTCAATCTTTTTAATCTTTTCCTCTTGAACGAATTTCATGTATGAAATTTTTATATATGTGATTCTTTTTCTTTCTCCTTTTTTCTAATTATCAAAATTTAACTCAAAAGTCGAAATAGTTTTTATTTGTATGCGAGTACAAAAATACTAATATTTGTGTGTGTGTATTAAACACACACGCATATATATATATATATATATATATATATATATATATATATATATATATATACAGGCACAATTTTTGATATTATATATATAATATAAAAAATTGCAAAATAAGTTTTATTGATCGATAATTATCTTTTTATTTATTTTTTTTTTTTTTTTTTCATCAAATCAAATATCTCAATCGAATATTACTTCTTTATTTTTTGTTTTTCTTTTCTCACAAATTTTATACATTAATTATTTTAAATATATCAAGATTTTAAAGCGAAAAGAAAAAAAAAATGAAAAAGAAAAGATTGCATTACAATCTTTATTTTAGATTTAGAACATTATGCAGGGGAAAAAAAAAGAAAAGACAAGAAAAATGGTCAATAATTCTATCATTCTAATAAATATTAATAAATAATAATAATAATAATAATAATAATAATAATAATAATAATAATAATAATAATAACACTAATAATAATGGTAATTATAATAAATATGATGATAATAAACGAAAACAATGGAACACGACCGCTACAAGTTTACCTAACAACAGAGCGAACATTGTTTCCTCGTCCGGCAAGAAGATGAAGCTGTATACGTTGACAACAACAACAATGTTGTCGCATTTGTAATTGGGCACGTTTCTTCTCGTTTAAAGCTTGTTGCAGTTTACGTTTACGACCGCGTTTGAAAACTTTCTGTCGATCGAGGAAAAAATTACCACGCCATAACGTTTCGAAAAAAGCACGACCATCTGCCGGACCTCGTCCTCGAGCTACCTTCTGCGTTGGCGTTGGCGTTGGTGTTGTCGTGGACATAGTCATTCCCTTCGATTGTTATAAAAAAAATAAAAAAATAAAAAAAAATAAAAAAAAATAAAATAAAAAATAAATAAAAAAACAATGAAAAAAAAAAAAAATATAACAAATTTTCTCGAACGACTAGCAGTAGCGACGATGGTGCTTTTGAAATAATTATTTTTATTTCTTCATTTCTTCTTTGAAAAATTTCTATTCCTCCTTTTTTGTTAAATATTTATATGTTTATATTCAATGCACATGGACTCTTCAAATTCATCCTTTCAATTCGTCGAAAATAATTGATCTTCGATTATACCAATATCAATTTTAAGTGATTATAATTTAAAAATAAAAAAAAAAAAAAAAGGAAATAACTTTCTCGTTCAAGTCCTTAGATGATGATTTTTTTCTCAATTCTTCATTTCTTCTTTGAAAGGTTTTTGTACTTTTCTTTTTTTTCTTTTTCTTAATATTTATATATTTGTATTCAACACACATGGATTCTTTAAATTCGTCTTTTCAATTCGGTGAAAATAATTAATCTTCGATAATATAATCTCAATTTTAGAAGATTAAAATTAATAAAAGAAAAAAAAAGAAAGAAGAAAAAAAGGAATATGCGCCCTCATTCGAATCTTTAAGATAATCAAGATGATGAAAATGATGAAGAAGACACGATTGTAGCACACATAGAAATGAATCCCACCTTGATGTGAAAGGCATTTGCAATAGTTCAGACGAGTAACAAGACTGTGAATAGGATAGCGAACGTAATGCTTTTCCTTCCTTTATTGTACTCATCCTTTACATACGCGCGCGCGCGCGCGCACGCATACACGCACACACATCACACAACACATAGAGTTCCAAGAAAACCTTTTGTATACGAAATCTTCTTGCTTTCGTTGGGTAGAACAATTATTTGGTGAGAATGCCGGAAACGTTAGTATGTGTAATGCTCATTTATGTTTCTTTTATTCTTCCAATGATATATATATATATATTTTTGTATGATATCACGTATTTTTCTCAATTGATAATTTTTGTATCTTTGCTATCTTATTTTTCTTCATATATATTTCTTCCTTTTAACATTATTGTTATTCATAATGATTCTCATACAGTACATATTTCTTTTCTTCATATATATATATATATATGTGTGTGTATATGTATGTCTATTATACATACAATCTTATAAGAATATTTTATAGATATACATTGGTTCATGTATATATATATATATTATATATATTATATATATATAATATATAAATATGTATACGTTTTAATTATACGCATACATGTGAACATTTGATCATTGAGATCATCCGCTTAAATAATAAGGAAGACTTTGGATCAGGCACGCTAGCTATTGTCGTATCCTTTATTTTCGGATATCTGGAACATTGAGATTATTCATTATCATCATCATCATCATCTATATGTTCATATATCGACATATTGTATTCTCTCCTCTTCTTCATATATTTTCTTTATTTTCAAATTCTTTTCGAAATATTCTTCTCTTCCTTTTTATCCAATGAAAATTATTCTCAGATAACGATATATGTTGATTATTGCATTCTTCCCCACTGGTTATTTTAATTTTGTCAAGAACGAATTTTCTTGAAAAAATTCTTTTTTGTTTTTATATATATATATATATATATATTTTTTTTATTTATTTATTTATTTCTTTTTCATATATACGATTTTGAAGAGATGTTTCTGTTCACATTTGAAATATCACTTTCGTTGGCACGTATGTTAGAAATCTAACGTTACACTTCCCAACACAATCTTAACACTTAATATCTAATGTGTACATAAGTATATTTATATATGTATATGTATATGTATGTATGTATATGTATCTATATATATATATATATATATATATATAGAGAGAGATATATAGATATACGTCGACAATATATATATATGTATATGGTAATGGAAGACTTTTGTGATTTTACGTTAATTTCGCGATTACATTATGTTTATTTTTCTTTCTGTCTTTGTTTTTTGATCTTTTCAATGTTCGATGTTTCTACGATGGTTTTGTGGATATTTCTTGACGCATAGCGTCGCATCGTCGCGGTCCATTCTTGCACTGAGATAGCATTCGTCGAATGATGCTAGAATAAACTCGTGTACCGTCGTCTCTCGCGCATCCCTCCAACTACCGTCTTCTCTACACCACCCATCTCTCTCATCTCTCCCTTCCTTCTCGTTATTAGCGCCGGCGCTATAGGGTAGGTCGATATGACCTAACAGAGGAAGGAAGGAAGAATGGGTGGGTGTATACACCCTTTGACAATCTTTCAATTTTAACTAATTAATTAATCTATTATTACTTGCATAACAGAGAGGGAGAGAAAGAGAGAGAGAGAGAGAGAGAGAGAGAGAGAGAGAGAGAAAAAAAGAGAAAGAGAAAGTATCCTACTCTTGATCAAATATCATATCAAATCCAAATGCTACTCTATTAATTATTCTACAAAATTGTATCACAGTAAATTTTCATTAACGAATAATCGAATAAATATCTTTCTTATTTTCACAAAAATTTATAAATGATTCATTGTAATTGATTATGAATTTTTATATGATTCATTGATTATAGATTTTCTTAAAAAGTATATATTAATTCTGCATTAATATAATTGACATTTATATGAATAATGCAATCGTAATCCAATTGCAATAATATCATGTGACAGAGAAATGAATCAGATGTGAATTCTATAATGGAGTATATTCATATGTGATAGGCCTTGGAAAGAAACCTTTCAAAAGTTAGTTGAGCAATCGTGAATATGTTCATGCAATTCTCATAAAGTTACCATTCAAAACTATGACGAACTTTTTCAAGTAGTTAACAAAAAATAATTGGAATAGTAAAAAAAAAAATATATATATATAATAATAAACTTTACTTTATGCGGCCAAATTCATCACGTGGTGCACTTGTCTTCATTTCTGTACCCATTAACATTGAACGATAAGATTCCACTTTCTTTGTTACTTCCTCGGTTGTGAATCTGTAAGAACGAATTTTATAACAATAATTAAATTTATTCTGCCAATTGTAGGTATATATTAAATTCTTAATTAATATAACATCTGACATCTATAGGCAAAATTTTAACTCAATGATATTTGTAAATACAAAGAATTAAATTAAAAAATTGCAAAATAGCAACAAAGTACTATATAGGTTTTTTTTTTAAACCACATAAAACTATGGTATTAAAAATTATTATATAAAGCAAAATTTTTTTATTTCATTTCATCAATAGCATCATATGGATTATTATATATGAATATAAATAAATAAGAAATAAATATAATAACAAAGAGCATAAAAATATATCTACCCTTGTTCTTCCAAAATGTCTGCTAATTCGGCACATTTAACTTCAACTTTTCGCTTTCTGACATGATCAAGAATCTCCTTATTAGGTTGTTTATTTATTTGTTCTATCTTTCCTTCATCAGTTTTATAATTAACTTTATCCTTTGTTTTGCGTATAATAGCCCAGTTTCTTTGAACATGTCCATTGGTTCCAGATCCACGGGGTGTTTGAAGACCAATACCATTATACATTTTATGTAATAACTGCAAGTTCTAAGTAAAAAAAATCGTTTATTATCTATCTATTATGTAATATATCAGTGATTAAAAGTAAACATCAATGATTAATTATTTGAAAGATTTCATTTATTTTCTTTTTTTTAATTTTTAGTTTTCTTAAATATTCGATTTTATCATCAACAAAAATTCTACATTTTCCGATTATAATCTATACAATTATATTAGCATTTGAATATTATCAATAAATATTATTAAAATGTTCTCCTCATTGAATTCTATTCAATATTAAAGTTATGTGTGTCACGAATAGAGATTCCATTAATCAAAAATATGCTATATATCTTGGGAAAAAAAAAAAAAAAAAAAAAAAAAAAAAAGAAAGAAAAAAGAGAAAATATTTAGAGATTTACTTTTCTATAGATTTATACTTAACCTATAAAGTCAATAAATGAAATGGCTTGGAAATAATAATTGCAACTATTAAATAGTAAAAAAAGTGATATAAAAAGAAATAACATATAATGTGAAGAATAGAGGACAAACGATAGGTTAGAATAAAGCAAACGCAAATTATTGATCGAATAGCTTCTGACGCAAATACATTCTTCAGAACTCACGTTTCAAACTTGATCCAATTTATTGCATAGAAATCACTTAGAATATCGTCAATTCTGTCTATATCATAAACAACTCACGTAAACTAAAATTCAACGGTCAATCCCTAAATTAAAGCGCGAATAACACTCCACGTTTTCTATAGCGTTGCCGTTATTACGCGATTATTACCAAATTTCAACGTATGGTGGCGTTATACGTCAAGCTATGTTATTTTATGCGCATGTCATCCATTATTCTACGTTCAAGAAATATTTTGTATTCGGATTAATTCTAACTAATACTATGTATCTAACATATATTTAATGTTTTTTTCTTTTCTGGTTTTATTTATTTTTTTTTTTTTTTTTTTTTTTTTTTTTTTTTTTTTTTTTTTTTTTTTTTTCGTAAATATATGCAATATAATTATTATAATTATTATAATTATTATAATTATTATAGCTATTATAATTATTATAATTATAATTATGATAATTACAAAAGAATACGATAATTCTCTACTTTAAACTCTTACATTTTATTTATATATTTCATATAGAACATTTGATATAAAAAAAATCTTTCTGAAAATATATACTTTTACAATAATTTACTTATTATTATCTTATTAAACATTTGCGTAACTATTAAAAATAATATTGTTTCTAATGATCGATAATTTAATACGCTCCTGGCTATAATTTTTTATCTAACAACAAATATTTGAACACGCATATCAGTTCTAATAATTATAAAATTTAAATTAATGAAATATGGAATTATTTATCATTGTCGTCATCACTCATTACCGCATTTCAATGCACATAACAATTATTTTCTCAATTGAAAATATGACGTCAGTAAAACGTTTAAGCGCTGTACTCGGAAGTACAGTACGAGTATGCGCGCATCTAGTTTGTATTTCTTTATAGTTATGTATATCAACAGTTCTTTAGTATAATTTAAAGAGAAAATAATTTGTTTTTGAGAATCATTAAATATGATAAGATTGCAGAATATTTTTTTTATTTATATGATATTTATTGTTTATATAATACAATGAATAATAATTCTTAAATTTGTGTACTACTTTAGTGATCTTAAAAAAGGGCGAGCCATCTGTGTTGAGTAAAGAAATGTGATATATGTATGTAGTTCAACGAAATATTCATGAAAATCTATATTTTATTGGCAGTATCTAATGGAATTTAACGCATTGCTATATCTTTTATTTATTATATTAAATGTATAAAATAATAATATAATTTTTAACACACGAAATGTCCATACAAAGAAGATTGTGTTTTATTGACAAGTTGGATTAATGAAAATATTTATCAAAGTTAAAATTTCTATAACAAGATGAATAAAAGTCACATGGATAAAAGATTAAATCAGCTACCAACTTGGTTGTGGGCTAATTCCGCTACTTTACCACCAATATATAAGATTGTATGGGAAGCAGTAAGAGAAGATAGAATTAAATCTAATGGATTGCAGACTGAAGTTTTAGTCGACACTAATAAAGTTTTTCCATTATTACTTACGAGCCAACTCTCAATGGAGGTTCTAGGTCATATATGGAATTTGGCTAATCAAAAATATGCCGGACAACTTACAGAACAAGAACTTTATATTGTACTTGCTCTTGTTGCTGCCGCACAAGCATCTTATACGTTTAATAGCTTAGATATATTACATTTACTTCCATTTCCGCCAATTCCATATTTAAATATAGAATGTGTATTAAATGTTCAATCTACAATGTATGTTAATGCCTCATCAAAATATCAAGCTAATAAAAAGGAGGAATCTAATAATAAATCAATAAATTTTGAAGAAAAATATACGTCTGAAGTTAAAGGAAAAATAAATAAAACTGGCCAATTAACATTTGATTCCAATTTACCAGTATCAAATGTATTAGATAAGACACCATATTTAGACAATGAGACATGTTCTACTCTAATGATAAGTTCTAATTCATCAAATCCATGCCCTCGAGATTATTCCAAATATACTAAAATTCGTTCAGAAATGAAAAGTAATATATGTACGTTAGATAATAATGATGATTTTTCTGAATTTCAAAGTGCTCCTATTGTCAATAATACACCTAGCATGTCGAATTGGGATATGAGACAAGGCTCTGCAATTGGAAGTAGACTTGCAAATCATAACTTAGGTGTTAAGAAACCAGTTGAGAAACCTAAAAGAAATAATACAAATTCTAAAACTATGAACTTTCATATGCAAACGCATGCTTCTTTATCATCTTTAAATCCTGTCTCTCAAAATTTATCATTAGAACGTTTATCAGAATTATTTCCTAAATGTGCGATAAAAAATCAATCGAAAACTGTAATATTAAAAGATACTATTATAAGAAATAATGATTTATCAAAGGACAATGGTGAAACTATAAGAGATCTGAAAACTAATATATTAGAAAATATACAATTATCTGGTAATAAATCTATAATGTGTAAATTAGAATCTACTGATAAGGTATGTATATTAACAATTAGTAAAATATATAAGAAATGTAGAAATTATATGATAATATATAAAAACATTCAAAACAATAATTTCTTTCTGCAGGCTGGTATTAAAGAAGTAAAATCTGATCAACGAGATTTAATGAATTTACAATCTACTGAAGATAAATACAGTGCATTGCGTGCATTAGTAAATGAAACATCTGTAACAAATAAAATAAACTCTGTTGACAATATTGCATCAAATGATGAATTTGGAGAATTTGTTTCTGCCGAACAAACAATCACTGACGCTAATTCTATTTTGGATAATTCCAATCCTGAATATTTCAGAGATACAATAACAGGTTTTGAAACTAAGTCTTTTAACAACACTAATGATAATAATACAGCAGGTATTGACATTATACAAGATATTTCTCAATCTTTGAACAATGTCAAATTTGGAGACAATGTTGAAGAACAAAGAATTAATGAAAAATTTGAACCTAAAATTGAACCAGGTATAATAATATGTATTTAAATATTTTATTATACAGTTTTTATTATTGAAGTCTTTTCTAAATGAAAATATGGAATAATTTTGACTATTCTTGGCAAAGTAATTTTATCATTATTATATCTGTAAAATATAAATAAAAGGGAAATAGAGTTAATATAATTAATGCAGTGTATAAAAAAAAATATATATATATATATAAAATATTTTCGATAAATAATTATACAAAAATTTAATTACATAAAATTGCGTTTAGGTAAACTTATTCAAATGGAAGATGCTATATCTCTTAATAGTATAGAATTGATGAATGGAATATCTGATCGGACAATAACAAGATCAGGTTCTGTACCTAGCTTAGATCTAAAATCCTTTTTACCTACAAATTCAGAAGAAGATCAAATAATACAAATAACACAGCAGGTATGACAATATCAAAATGTGAATAGAAAAATAAAATACATATATAAAAATGCTAAAAATAATACTTTACAGACAGTTTATTGGGAATGGAAACAATATATGGAAAGTTGTATATCATTATTACAAATTGCAGCTAATATATTCACTAATATAACATCCGAAGTTATACTAAATGAAGTATTAAATTCCGCACAAGGATATAATTTTCTTTGCAGTAAGTAATTTCATTAATCTCCTATAAATGAATATATAAAATGTAATACTTTAAAATACAAAATTTTTCTTTATATTTATTAGATTTAGCTGAAGTTGCAGCAGTTTGTAGACGAGTAAATTTTTCATATAAGGAAATGGATATAAATATTATCGGATTTGATGATCTTCTTATGGATATCGATAGAATTTGGGCAGAAATGGAACCTTTTTATGCTAATATACCAGTAAGAAAATATATATACATACATATATACGCACATTTCATATAACAAATTTTCTATTATCCTTTATACATTTTTTATAACATAATTATATAACTACGTTTATTAATCCAACTGTATTTTCCATATTATTGTAGATCGTAACAGAACTACCAACTTGGCCTTTGCATCAAGGTGAATGCATTTCTTGTGCACTCTGTTTAACTGTCATTACCAGCGACAAAGTAATTTATAATGAAAATAATTATCACGTAACCTGTGCAAATTTATGGCTGAATTGTGTAAACAATCAATTGCCTGCGATACAATATCCCACATTCTATTCCTTTACAAACATATGTTCAACTAATAATCACATTTGACACTAACTTAAATAAAGTTATATTTCGAGTTATATTGTACAGTTTAATCAGAAGAAAATACAGTATTCAAGTTGGAAAAATAAAAATGATGCAACCATACATTTTTTGTATGATACATCTAACTTTATTATTAGCTAAATAAAAAAAATATTTCAAATAAATTGAGTTAAAGGCACACTCTGTCTATTATACTATTCTGTATTGTACATAAGTATTCTTTAATCATAATTACATTTATAAAATATATATATATATATACATTTATGGTCATGTTAAATAGTTATAGAAATCAGTAGGAAAATTATAAATATAATAAATATTTATTATTGGAATATATATTTATCTCTGACTTGTATCTCTTGGTCTATAAACTATACCTCTACTTTTCATTTCTCTTATAACACCTGCTGGAAGGCGACCCGATACCGATATCGCATAAACTCCTTTACAAAAACGATCTGAAAAAAAAAACATATTGGGTTTGATACGAGAAATGAAACATGCAAATCTTTTCAAATATTTATGTAAAATTTAAAGTATATATTTTTGATAATATTTTATTACTTACTAATTCTTTGCCATTTGCATACCCAACTATCTTCTGGACTCATTGCTGCAATCATGCTGAATAATAGAAAAACAAAATAATTACGAAATAATTTATAATTTAAAAAGGAATATTTTTATGAATGTAACAAATCAAAAGTTTTATTTATATTATAAACGTTAAAAAGTACAAAAAATTTACCCATCAAAATTAGAACTCGTACAATCAAAGACATTGTCTTTGTTATTTTTCATACGTAAAAATTCATCACAATTGTCACAGCCATCAAATTCGAACTGATCGAAAGTCTACGACAATTAAATAGAAAAAAATATTACATATAAATAAAATATAAATTTGTTTTTATGTTCGGAAAATTATTTCATAAAAATATATATATATACCTTAATCAACGAGCATACTAAACATGCTCTTAGACCACGTAAATCTTTCGGCACCGTTTCCATTGATATAATAAAATTATACACTTGCTTTTTAAAATGTTTATAATTAATTAATTTTTCTATTATTTATAGGTTAAGTCTTGGCATCATTTGAAATGAATCAAATATGACTGACGAATTGACAATGAGATTTGGAAAAAGAAGACGCACCACTATTTCATATGTCCAAATCTATTCCCTCTAGCGGTACTAATATGAAACAAACTCTTTAACTTTGAAACTGTTTATGATTTTTCACTCGTAGCATAAGCGACTTTAGCGACAGGTACGGGTAAAATATGAACTACAATCTTTGAAGTATGATTAGCAATGTAAAATGTTAGAAATTTAATGTTTAATCAGAATTAGATTGAAAGGACTTTGAAAATACATTGAAATATGCAATTTATGTTTATATTTCGCAATCCTAACAATTCCTTAATAAAAATTTAAAGTATTAGAATTTTAAATTAAAATTATTTTCTCGCGCGTTACGATTTTTTAAATATTTAAACGAATATATTATTATTTAAATATTTATTTATTCTACTCCGTATACATTTATACTGTTTAGATAATCATATATCATGTAGGATGTACATAATTTGTATAATATTTCGATATTATAAATTATTATTACAGTATTATTATCAATAATTATTATTAGTAATAATAATAATAATAATAATAATAATAATAATAATAATAATAAAATTAAATAAATATATAATAATATAATGATAATAACGAAATCATAAGGAAATAGTGCTCAGAATTTTACCTCATAATGTGGTAATGAACTCATGTTTTGATTTTTGTAAAAATAATATATACTGTATATATATATATATATATATATATATATATATATATATATATATATATATATATATAAAGAATAAATTAGTTCATTATATTCTTTTATATTAATAAAGTAAAAAAAAAAGTTACGAACGCGATCCATCCTGTTTTGAATCTACTATTTTAGTATATATCTTTATACTAAATAACAAATCTAACTGTTTGCTATTATACTAAACGTTTTTTATAGTATTCTTATATTTTTAATATATACAATATAAAAGGAAATATTGTTAAATTTCAGAAAAATATTTTTTCAATGTTTTCTAAATATAAAAAAAATATATTTTTATATTTAGAAAAAATAGTTTTTCAATTTTTCAGAAAGCAAGATCCATTGGCATGAATGTATATTTTCTTATTTTTACCATAGGATCATCATCGGAAGCTCTTTAAATTGTTTGAATGAGTTAATATAATTCCTCCGCGTGAGCATTGCGAAATGCATTTTATTGCATTTGTAATAAATCAGAAGATCTACACATCGGTTTACGCATTAAACGATGTAGCAATCATGTTATACTTCTAAAATATACACTATTCAAACGTTCATATAAAAATCGATGATAGGGATACGAATTCTTCTTTTTTTGCCGTAAAGTTCAAAGGGCACTCGCTATAAAAAATCTTTTTTTCACGTGAAAATATCGAAAACAACATTTATAATGAATAACGACATCCGGACATAATTCTTGACCAATTTTGGTGGTTTTCATTATAAAGATGAACTAAACAAAATTGTCTATGCAATTAAAATTATATGGTAATTAAAAAATAAAATAAATAAATTAAAAAAAAAAAAAAACAAGAATTAATATACCTTCTATTTACATATTATTCTTATATATTTTCTATTTACATATTATAAATATATACGTATAAATAGAACGTTTCTATGTACACACTCGTATAAAATTTTTCATGATGATCGTCATTTCATCATGCAGTACATATATATATATATATATACATATACATATGGTAGATTGAATAAATTTCGATGATTTTAATTATCATCATCGAATAAGTCCATTTATTTAATCAATATTTTATAGTCAATAAGGTTGCGTTGTGTACATTATATTTGTAATGTAATAACCAAAATATCTTGTTAAATAACAAAGAAAAAGAAAAATCAAAATGAACGATCAGAAAAGTTAAATAAAATTCATTGATAACGGTGGGACTTAATGTTCATTTTAACAATGTATCAACTACCACTTTGATTTTTTTCATTATTCATGATCTTTCCTTCCTTTTCATATTCATTCGTACAGATACATCATAATTTCTAAAAATTCTATAATCAATCAATCAGTCTTCGCGTTCTCTCTCTCTCTCTCTCACTCACTCTCCCTTTCTCTCTTTCACTCTCTCTTTCTCTCTCTCTCTCTCTCTCTCTCTCTCTCTCTCTCTCTCTCTCTCCCTTTCCCTTTCTTTTTCTTTCTCCAACGCGAACAAAGCGATCTCTCCTCGCATATAGTAAAAGAAATGCGAGTTGTATTTGTTTTTTGTTTAGTACTTTCGAAAGAAAACCTTGTGGATACTCGTTCAATGATAATCTACGTCATGATCTTCGATCGATATTCGCCTAAGTGTTATGTATCTCGGTGAACCTTCACGATGTCCTTCGTTAGTCGTTTCCTTTCTTCGGCCTAGTTCACTTATCAATGGCATATCTTTTCTATCATTATTGAAACGTTTATTTCTGTAAGATGATCTATCAAAATTTCCCTCGATATCACTTATAGATGTTAATAATGGCATAGTGTATTTAAATTCATCGATGTCATCATCCCTCGGCCGAAATTTCATTCTATCATCTGGAACTGGACGTCCATCCGGATAAACACGTGTTACCATTGGTCCGATCAAATATGGACCAACGTGAATGTAATCATTCGTTGACACGCTTTCCTCTGTAATACTATTCGTCTCGCTATCATCATTTCCTGTAAATATATCGAATAAATTAGATATAGAATGACTTTAATATTTTTCACACGCATGCATACACACACACACACACATACATACGCAAGCAATCTTTCTATTTCTATACTTTACAATTTTTCATTAGAATAGGAAAATATATCAATGTAGGATAATAAACTCTTTTTCGAAACTTTTTAGAATTAATTCTTGAATTTTTTTTCTATTATTTAATTACTTTTTGTTTATTATTATCGACAATTTTGTATGATCATGCCTGTGAACGTGTATGTGAACAAAAAATAAATTCAGATAGTGAGAAGATAAAATTTTCTCGTCGCATTATCAATGGAGATTATTCATTCGAATGCGATAATGAATGGCATAAGCAAAATAGTGGCGAGTAAATTACACGAAAGAGAGCAATAATTTCTTTCTTTCTTTCTTTCTTTTTTTTTTTTTTTCTTCAGATAAAACTTTAAAACTACTAGCTTAGGAACTTCTGACCCGGTCTATAATCTTTTTATTCGTAATGATTTTTTATATCAAAGAGAAGAAAAAAAAGCAGAACGAAGATGATCATGAAATACAAAGCAATAGTCACTTGTCAGAATATAATATTCGTTTGACAATATAAATTAACAGTAACTCCTCCAATTCCTCCTCCTCCTTCTCTTGCGGAGCTGTGGGTTTCTAGAAGGATATGGAGCACAGAGAAAATGTGAAAGCTACGTTGTACGTTCGATGAGAGTTCTCTTTTCTACTTTCGAGAAAAGTGACCCCGTTTAATTCACAAACAGCATCCAATAAATCTCTCGAATATGGTTACAAATGTATTAAGAAAAAAAATTCAATGATCGTATATTGCAAACTTTTTTTTTTTGTTTTAATTCTTTTCTCATACCTATCGTAAGTCCATTTGTAGGAAAATAATTTCCTTTGATATCATCTTTATTAGTCCTGGACGAGAGTCTATTTGTTCCTATTAAAGTTCGCCAAACTGTGAATCAATAAACTTAAATCAGTACAATTAAGATGATAAATTCAAAATTATATATATATATAATTACACAAAATTATATATATATATATATAATTATACAAAATTATATATATACTTACTTATTTCTCTAGCACCACGTTGATATGGATCCAATTTATCGAGAACATTATCGTCCATATTAACAAGATTTCGTAAACCGGTAATTAAGAAATTCTTATTACAATCCGGTCTCGATGAATCAGCACAAAATTGTGTCGCTTGTTGACTAAACATTTTGTACAAACGGCTCATCTGTAATTAATATGAAAAATTAATTATCAATTATTTAAAAAACAAAAGACAAATTGTTAATTTGCAGGAGGGGAGGGGAGGAACAAGAAACGAAAAGAAATGTGATTATCGAACGTGTTTTTTATATTTCCAACAGCGTCTTATATCGCACATTAGAGAATTTAATTTGTCTCTTCGATAATTCCGGAAATTGGGAGAAAGCAGGGATGAGCGCGACAATCGAATCGAATAGAAAATAATTAGCGCGGAAAGACAATGATAATGCAGGTATATAACTTGTTCTTTTACATTTACCTAATATAAAATCTATTGAAAATTATAGTATATATATGTACATATATATTGTAATATATTCTAGTTATATATAATTATAATATATATATATATATGTGTGTGGTATTTATATGAATGGTCACTGAAAAATTAGACCTTCAAATCTAAAGAAAATACAAGGAAGGTCGACATTAAGATTAATGTTGATTATACAAGGATTTGTGTTTATGTATGTGTGTGTACAGTAGAAAGATATTTAGTACTAGGTCGAGTGTATGATCTTGAACTTCGACTGGAAAACGTTAATCACGTAGCACATATCGCATATTTACATTTATCGATATTCTTCTCGAATATTACATTTATCGAGAATGAAACAAGAAAAAAATATTCTCAATCACGTTCAATGAAAGCATAAGATAATTTAAATAAATTCATTCGAATATTTACAAAATTTTACCTTCTTATCTAATGAAAAGTTATTTGTTTTATTCAGTGTAATACATCATAAAACATATATATATATATATATACTTGATAATCCGGATTAAACACGTTCATATATTTCAAACATTATCTTACTTACTTTTTCCTCTCTCGAAAGAAATTCCCACATAGGTATAGCTGATCCAATGACTCGCATTGTCACAAAAGAAATGAGAAAAATGGTGGTAAAGATTAGACTCCTCATCTCGTTTTCTTTTTTTTTTAATAATATAATATGATATATACAAATGCGTGTATATATATATATATATACACCTCGCTTAAGGATTAATATGTGTATATATCTTTCGAAATTCTTAAAAAACGTCGTAAATGAAGTACCACGAAATTAATTATCTATATATATATATATGTATATATATATATATTTTGTTAAGGCACAACTCCACTTGTATTTTCGTTAGATGTAATTTGTATTAAAACGAGAAAAAGAGAGAGAGAGCTAATTTTTAATCGGCACGTAACATACGTTCTCATCAGCTAATAGACACAGAACTACGTTCGAATCGTTCAAAACATTTCATTTTATGTTCTACCACAAGTGTTGTTTCGCGGTGCTCTCACTTCCTCCCACTACACAACAGTGGCGCTGCTAACGCTTCCTCTCATTAGACGACAGTTGGCGCTGCTATCGTCATCATTTCCTCAATGGTTATATATGTGTATATATATATATATCCGATTCCGGTTAATACAAAGTAATATATTTACATATTTTCTTATATTATATATATATATATATCTTATACTTTATAAACACATGTATTGTACGTAAAAGAAAGTTGTTTTATATTCACGTCCATTCATTGTATACAACGAACAATTAACGTAAACAATTCTTAATTTCATTTTCATTTACATTTATGCACATATGTATGTATGTATGTATAAGTATATTCATGTACCTTACTCATTCGTAATTTCAATTTATTTTTTTTTTCGACATTTATGTCATTAAAAAAAAAAAAAAAAAAAAAAAAGACGAGAAAGAAAACGGAATCCTTTTGATGATACATTTGCGGATACGCAATGGATAGAAATTAAAATTGATAACGACTTTAACCTGCAATATTTCGACGCGTGTATGTTAATCAGTTATCTGCCGTTCGGGGAAAAAGCAGACTTCGTCGAACATACCAGACGTCAAAAAATGTTGGCTTCTCTTATACCTTGAAATACCGGAGACGCTTCCGTGAGAGCATCATATTTTTATAATGCCTCAGGTCACTGTTCGATGACGTTACCACAGAACTACATATATGTGTAATATGTACATAGATGTATGTATCTATGTGTGTGTGTAGATGTCACGTAGATTTCTTTCATAAATTTTTGGGGATTTTCTTATTTCAAGGATGACTCAATAACGCTAGAATAATAAATAAGAAAAATAAAAGAGAAACAATATTTTTTCTTACACGATTTCCATTCAAAATAATCTATAGTTAAATAGTTATATATATATATATATATATTTATGTATGCATATCATTAATACTTTAATAATTTATCAGATTTTCATATTGTACAAACAATAAGGTAATATATTGTTCGAAAACTTATTATAGTAATACCGATCGTATATATTACTTAACATCACATTTTTTTTTCATTCGATGGGAAAGAAATATAAATATAAATAATCATCACACGTAAGAATAATTTTTGTATCGTTTAACAGCGAGAAAATAATAAATCAATGTTATTTGAGATCATCAATATGCGAACAAATTTTAATGTTGGTTCATGAATCCTGTAGGTATATCTGTCATCGGTTTCCAAATACATACCTAAAGGCTTAGTAAATCTTTAATGGTGTCATAAATAAAACACATGCTAATTTCACTACTGGCGCCAAACCGACCGCTATCAGACTTTCCTCATCCATACCTTTCGGGATATTTATCGAAATCTGCATGTTCGTTTTGGTCCGAATAATAAATTGAATAATAATAAGAGAGAGAGAGAGAGAGAGAGAGAGAGAGAAAGAGAGAGAGAGTGAGAGAACGTGTAACGGAATTCATCTTTTTTATTTTTATTTTTTTTTATTTTATAGTAGTAGGTAAAACCCCTAATAAAATGACTTTCTTTCTTATATTTGATCTACAAATAGTCATTATATAAAAATTATTTTTAATAGGTCATTAATCTCTATAAAAAAACGTATAAATAAATTTGTAGATTGTATTAAAGATTAGAGATGTGCGTGTGTACGATCGTTTCTTTTCCTTTTTTTTTTTTTTTTTTTTTTTTTTTGAAAGTAGAAGAAACTTCGATGACATCAATCTCGAAAGAATGCGTGACGAATACATTAAAAACGATTTAGATGTAATTTAATGATCTCGAAATTCCTATATAAATGTGTTTTCATTCTGAAACATTTTGTTGTTGACGTCAATGGAAATAACATTTTTGATTATCAATATCACATTAATTGATTAACATTCGTAATGTAACGAAACGTTCGTATGTAACGAAATTTTGTTAAGATACCGTTAAAATTAAACTTAGGATAAAAGCAATATTTATGTAAAATATTTCTTTTTATATGGATCTATATATAAAAAATTTCTATTAATCAAATAAAAAATTATTTATAGTTCATGTTCAGCTCGTGACAATAGTACCCTCTTTATACATTAGAACAGAGCCCCATAAATCATTAATCTCAAATAACATAAATATATACATATAACGAGATAAATTGCAGATATATAAAAATATATTTGTTATTGTCTGGTGCAATAAGCGAATATAACATTTAGATTTAATTTTAACATACACAATATATGGTGTATAAGCAACGTTTAAAAATTACTTATGCATATATCATTCATGAATATTAAAGTTAAAAAGATTCAGTAATTTTGTTTTGGCTTTTATAGTTATGGAAGACTTTGATAGAATTTTATCTAATTATATTTCATATTACATTATTATTATTATTATTATTATTATTATTAATATTATTATTATTACCATTATATTTCTTTCAAGTAAAATTATATATTTAACCAAACAGTTTCTTTTCTTCTTTCTTTTTGCCATTAACATCGGCCATACGCATGATGAGACTGATGAGCTGAAATATTTATATATTCGTTTTTTTAATAAAATTAATATTTATTTCAATAATAATAAAAAAAACAGATGTTTGTATTCCAAAAAATTACCTTTATAAAATTCAGTAAGAAAGTTTACTTCTGGTAGAAGAACATGAACCCTTTGTAGAATCGTAGCTTTAGGTGCCAAGGCAGCATTCACATTCCAAATCTGAAAGAAAATAACATTATAATATTATGATTTACAATAAGAAATAAATATATCCCAATATGTTAATGTATAATTAGAAAAGAAAATAGAAATACTTGTATCAAATCTTCCCTATCTCTTATAGAGACAGTTACACCACAGACTTCATCGCCTTCCGCCATGCATTCAGCAAATTGCTCTCCAATTGCAGCAAGTACTATTTCTTGCCAAATTTTTGCCTAGAAAATATTGAAAAATTAATGGTAAAATAAAAGAGTTAAATACACCATGAAAAGTTTCATCTCTTACAGTGTCAAACTTATGACATTTTAATCTCCATGTTCCTCCTTTTTGATTGATTGGTTCTTCCCATATAGGATATCTACCATCTCTCATCAGATGGTAACTATATCTAACCTGTGAATACGATATTACCTAATGCTTTTTTATCAAAATAAAATCAAAAATATTATTTCTTATAAAATTTGTAATGATTCTTATACAAAAAAAAAAAAAAAAAAAAAAATGACCTTTCATATCACATTATTTTGATCTATGATAACAATCTAAATCAACTTGTTTACCTGTTCAAAAAAAAAAACAATACCTGTATCTCAGCAGCATTTGGTATGTTATTGAAGACTGCCCAAAAGCTTTGTACAGTATTCACAGTATAAATCTTCTTTAAATTGGCTTTATATTCTTCGGCAGTTGTACCAGAAATAGCTCTGTTAATTTCATCAATTTTTTTTTTTTAAACTTCTTTTGCACTTTTTTTTTCATGTTATTGCGATATCAATCAATGTTTCGAGCCAAATATTGTTCAATAACATGATCTTTTAAATTATGTAAATAATAAAGAAGATGTATTAAATAAATGTAGAAAATAAGTTGAAATATTTAAATGATAATTAATTGATTGCATTGGGACATAAATATTATTTTCAGTGTATAACCTTTTTTAATTATCTATTGCAAGTATGAAAAAATAAATGATATGCATGATCTTATATGATTTTGAAAAACATATTGTATTTTAATAAATTACTAAAAATCCATAAGATCATTTAACGTTTGACAAATATATTGATTTTGTATAAAACATTGTCACAATTATGATATGTAAAGATTGATAGAATTTTTCATCAAGAATAGTAGATGAAAATTATATTTGTATATGTTGTTTTGACGTTTTTTCTTTTCTTTTCTTTTTTTTTTTTTTTTTTTGTTATTATCAATCGATAGATAAAACGAATAAACAATATAATTATGAAGAGAAACATTTAGATTAATAAATATCGTATGCATAAATGCTACACACACAAATGATACATGCATATTTTAAAGAACGGAAGTTAATTATTGTCCTCTCACTTGTCCAACCAAAATGTCCAGGAAGATTGTAAAGGTAGTCCGGTGTTGTCATGCTCTTCTATCGCTTCAACGGTTTTGCTAGAGAATACCGGTGACTTCGACAAATCCGATTCGGAATCATCATCTTTCGACTCACATTGTACCGCAGCCATCTTCGAAACACGATGTGCACTTGATTTTATTTCAGAAATCATATGACGATTCACGCCGCTTCTGCGATAGAGAGAGAGAGAGAGAGGGAAAGAGAGAGAGAGAGAGAGAAAAGAATGGATTGTATAACCGAATGAAAAAAAGAAAAAAAGGAAACATTTAAGATCAATTTATAAAAGACGTTAGATCGATCGACTCCATCGACGTAAATGCGATAAACCATAACTCTGTAATTACTGTGAATAGAATCCTAAAGCTTCGAGCGACCTCTTGCTAATTATCTTTCTAATTTTTCTTCCTTTTTTTTTTCCTTTCTAGATAATATACATTACAATATATATATATATGCACATAAGATATTCAATATAATAATAAATATTATCTCATTTTATTTTATCTCTCATATTTAATTATTATTCTTCAAAATAATTTTGATTTTCGACCAAGTATATATAATGATAGAACCTAATCATAATTGCATCGTATTATTATTAACTTTTATCTTAAACGTTTCCTTTTTTATTCACTCTTTACATAATATGTAATTTTTAATATAAAATAGTTCATTTATACGCGCAAAAATGTGACAATATCGTAAAGTCAATTTTCTGATCATTTATATATATATATATATATATATATGTATATTTAAGAATGCGTAATTGTTATTGCGCGCGAGCATTGTCGACAAAATAAAAGTTTATGTATACGTATGTATACGTCTGTAGTAATGATGAAAAAATGTGGCGGTGGGGAGAGGATTTATGTAGGTACAGACACGGTCTTTTATTTGCACGATTATTAAGTTTGAATACGTATCCAATGATCATAATAAAAGTTTGCGTTTTCTTGCTCGTGCGTATATACATATATATAAAACTCTTTATCTATACATCATACATTTTTGACATATGAAGCCAAATAGGTTAGATCAAAAATTGAATAATTTATTCTTTTTAGTAGATTTCTAAGAGAATAGAGTGGAATAATTAAATAGAAAATCTAGATCCAAATATATAAGGGTTCTTTTCGACAAACAAAACATGTGGGTATTTGGTTATGGATCTCTTATATGGAAAGTTGATTTTCCTTATGAAAAAAGAATCATTGGTTATATTAAGGGGTATGTGAGACGATTTTATCAAAAAAGTACAGATCACAGAGGAACACCCGATAAGGTGCGTTAAAAAATGAAAATATAATTGCTTTTGTGAAAATTTTTTATATCTTTCTATTGCTCTTAATCTGTACTTTAAAGTTTGAGTTGTTTTTATGCCTAAACTTTTAGCCTGGTCGTGTTGTTACATTGCTTCCATCTGAGAATCCAAACGACGAAGTATGGGGTCTTGCTTATAAAATATCTATTGAAAATGTAAATAACGTCGTTGCACATTTAGACTTCAGAGAAAAAGGTGGCTACGAAAGGAATATCGTCCTCTTTCATCCTTATGCTAGTCTTAACGACATTGATAAAAAACCTTCTTGTACTTCCTTAGATAGCATTGTAAATATAAATAATACAATGGTGGTACCGGTTACAGAAAAGGATCCATTTTATCTAACAATTTACATAGGAAACAAAGATAATCCTAATTATGCAGGTGTTGAAGATATAGATACAATAGCAAAATACATATTTACAGCACATGGTCCTAGTGGATCTAACAGAGAATATCTTTATAAATTGGCAACTGTAGTACGTACATTAATTCCCAATGCGAATGATGAATATTTGTTTTTGTTAGAAAAAGCTGTGAAAAATTTAGAGAAAGATTCGGAAAAAGAAATAATTGAATAAAGTGAATATACATATAGGACACTTATTTATAATATATAGAATTTATTTAATTCTACGATAAAAAGTATACGATGAAATGATTTGAAATAATAATTTCAAGAATGAAATTTTTCTATTTTTTGATTTATTATCAAAGAAAAAAAGAAATATTCTTGTATATTATTTCACATAAAACGTATATTGATAGTATTAAACTATATCCATTATATGATACATACAATGTTTGATAACATAATTTCAACCGATGTACATTTTATTCTGTGTTTTGAATTTTGTCCTTCCAATTCGTATTCCCGCGTTATGCGTCACGCGCGTGATGTAATATATATATTTACTAAACGATGATATTGTTGATTGAAGCTAGTCGAATCTGAGTATCTATCTTAAATTCTTTTGTATTATTATATCTATTTAATATAGAGTACGTAGTTGCACGTAGGAAGTACAGGAAAAGGGTAGATCTAAAATAAGAAAAAGAGTTTATATAAACATGTACCTTATGTGACCTTATATTTGAGTTACAGTTTATTTTATATTTTAATAGCAGCTTATCTATCTTCAGAGAAATTTCTCGAAGTCACCACCTTCGACTTCGATATAAGTATGACACATTGAAACACTATTAATTGGAGTTTTGTAAACTACCAATTTTAAATATCTTCATAAATAAAATTCAAGTGTATTCAGGTTTAGACAAAGTTTACAAAACAACGAACTGTAACTCAAAAATGAAATTACATTGTGCATCTATTTATATACGAACTTTTTTTTTTTTATTTATTTTAGTATAGAATATACACTAAATGATTCCCATATGCAATCGGACATTCTATAAAAATCGAATTCACAACAAATTTTTAACAAATAATTTATTTTGATCGTTCCAAAGATACAATAAATTAAAACTCATCGATATATATAATATGAATCATGTAATAAGAAATCCAACGAAATCGTTTGAACATAATAAGGTTTCATGGACATAACCTACTTTTTCGTCGTTTTCAAAGAACCTGACGACATCGCTGACGTAACATCTTATAACTTTAATATCATACTACATCTTACACTTAACTACACTACTAGTTTAAACAATAATATATAGATATTCTAAAATATAATATATATATATATATATATTAATATACATATATATTTTTTTTCTTTTTCAATGAATATAAATTTTCCATTCTTTTAAACATTATTATATCTTGTAACATATTATAGCGCCATTTTTCATTTTTGTATATTAAGCAATTGAAAGAGTGGGGGAGAGAGAAAGAGAGAGAGAGAGAGAGAGAGAGGGAGAGAGAGAGGAGAGAAAAAAGTAATGAAAAGTATTTTTATAAATTTCTATGGAAATCTACCATTTTATTCTTATCCAATTAGAAAATGGTATGAGGAGTGAAGATGGAAGAGATCAAGACAGAATTCGGTTAGTAGTGAGAGAGAAGGGGGAATATAGTAAAGGAGTTGTGTGTGTGTATATGTGTGTGTGAAAAAGAGAGAGAGAGAGAGAGAGAGAGATGAAAGAAACAGAGAAGTCGATGGTCTCTTGTGCTTAGTTCCATTAATAATACGAGTTGTATAAAGTTAACTAGAATCTTCTCTCTTTCTAAGAAAACGAGTGTGTTCTATGGTGACGAATTCGAACATAATAAACGGCTTTGTCGAAAATTCTTCAAATTTCGTTGACACGACAATAGGACGCGCAAAAAAAATTATTTGAGAATCTGAAAGAAGTAAAAGGAAGTAAAAAGAAGAAGAAGAAGAAGAAGAAGAAGAAGAAGAAGAAGAAGAAGAAGAAGAAGAGGAGAAAAGAAAAAAGATAGATTGCGCTTTGTCAGTGCAATCGATTCGCACACGAAACAAATTCAACGAAAAGAAATTGTGCGAAAGCTTCGAATGAATTGTATAATATATATTTTTTATATGTATATAATATATGTATAAATATATATATTTATAATCAAATCGAAAGAAATAATCGAAATTTATCGAACGTTATCGACCGTTGGCAATGAAGTGCGAAATGAAATTTCTATGGGAATTGAAGTTCGTTAAAAAACTCTATAACACGTATACGATCTCAAGAGAAGACAAGACTTGAGAACGTAGTATATAAAAAAACGTTTTCAACAGAATATCGAGTTTTTTCCTCCCAAATATATATATATGTATATATATAATATATATATATAATATATATTTTTATTTCCCCTACGATACATTTTTTTGTCTACAACTATATAAAATATTTTCAAGAGAAAGCCTACACCGTACGCGCATACGGTTTGTACATATTAATTTTTTTTCTTTTTTTTTTTTTTTCTTTTTTTAATTTTGAATTACTGCATTCTTTGATAAATATCTAATCTCCAAAAGAGAAAAGAAAAGAAAAACAGTAAATATTTCGATCGAATTCAATCGTCTCGTCAATTTTTTTTCTTTCACTTATATTTTATATATATATATACACGTGTATGTGCGCGCGCATATATAACTCTTTTTAGTGTATATGAGCGTATGCGTTGTGTGTGTGCGTGCGGTGTACGTGTATATATATATATGTGATATTTATACTGAAAGATTTGAAAGATTCGATTACGAAAGTTAAATACAAGTTCTTATTTGCGTGTATGTGTTTCTAACGTCATTGAAACCACAGTCACATTCACACACACACACACATATATATATATATATATACATATTGTGTTCTGACAGTTCGTTTTGTCGTTGGTCATTGACGCTTTGAACTATATAGTTCTGCTTTTGTCTTCTTCCTAAAGATTATTCGAACGAATCTCTTCATTTAGTATCTTTTCTCGAGTAAGTGAATTTCTTTGTTTTGTTTTGTTTTTTTAAATTATTCTATTATTAATATTATTATTATTATTATTATTATTATTATTATTATTATTATTATTATTATTATTGTTTTTGTTATTATTGTTGCTAAGACTATTATATTTTATGTCGTTCATTTAAATATGAATGGAAGGATGAAAAAAAAAATTGAATCGATCGTTCGAGAACGATTTAAAAAATTTCGTAATGCTTATATATATATATATATGTGTGTGTTGTGTACGTAAAGGCACAAAAGAGAATGAATTCTTTTGTTTTTTAATTTTTTCGTTCTCACAATTTTTGTCGAAATATTTAATAAAATCTATTTATTTATTTATTTATTTTTTTTTTTTTTTTTTTTTTTTTTCTTATCACTCGTAATTGTGATCTCTTTTATCTATTATTTTCTACGTACATACACATACATAAAAATCTCACTACGTCATTTTGTATATGTATGTATGAATAATTCGATCGAAAACAATTGGCTAACTTTTGTATCGGATGATTCATTTGAAATAAAAAAAAAAAAAGAAAAAAAAATATATATATATATATGTATGTGTGCATGTATGTATATATATATATATTTTTTTTTTCTTAAATTGAAAATTAGATATTTTTAATTTGATTTTTAGAATTTTTATTTAATTTTAAAATAATTTTAAAATTATTTATTACGTTCTTATGAATGATGGATTATATTATGGAAAAAGAAAATAATGTGATATTATTTCAATATCATTCATGTGATACTTTTTATTTCAATTGGATTATTTTATGATTTAACGATGTGCATATATAAGATTTGCTATGGTTGTTTGTAGATATATTGCGTCAGAAAGTAAAGCGTTGCGTTGGAAGACATACACGAAATACGAATAGTTCTTAGCGCAAACACAAAAAAAAAAGCACGGATTATAGTTAAAAACGTACTATTTTCAAGTACATAATAATTTATCAACGTAAATGATTATTTGCACGTTAATATTTTGATTAGATTTTATGAAATTTTGCAAATATCTTTAATGGTGCTCGTAATATAATGATCATGATAAGCGTGTGTATATGTATATGTGGTTCGTTTAAAAATTGGTGAAAAATGTCGGAAAAGAAATTGCGTGTCAATTTCTTCTTGTATATTTTGGTACGTAATGCGCAATAGCGTCGCGATATACCTACAAAACATTATTTTATTTTATAAAAGTTAATTGTAATCCTTGTGATAAGATATGTGCTTTGAGAAATTTGATATTTATAAACATGCAATGTTATTTGGTTCATTTGTTTTCCTTTCGTGAAACCTTTCGTTTCATTCTAAAGTTTTGAACAAGGTCTATTTACGTCTGAGATGATGTTTATAGAATCTCACAAGTGAATGTTGTGATAACCTTGAAATCATGACTATTTGCAGAGTTTCTTATTCTACAGAATAAATATTCTGTAACACAATAAAATATTCTTTTTACATAATTCATCAAAGATTGAATCTTTTATTATATATTGTTAAATAAATGAAAGATATTAAGAGATTAAATTTTTATATCAATCCATATGATAAAATTCAAAATATAAATTTCATTCAAATATTATATTATAACATTTCAATTTTACAGATACAAGGCTAGCCAGTTGTGTCCTTCTTATTGTATGATTTTTAGTCATTCGATCAATAGTCTTTGGGACTATATAACAATTTTACCGTTTCCAAAGAGAGCGGTTTATCACACAACATAAGAATGGACACATCAGGCTTTCCTGTACCAGATGCGATCCACCCATTACTTGAACAATTACAAGAAGCTTTGGTGCTTGAGGTTAAATATCAACCAAATCTTCAATTGCTCACTACAACGCAAGTAAGTTATTAACGTTGTATTTCTTACTGTAAGTTATCATGTGTGTATTTGAGCATGCTTGTATATATTATTTATATATGTAAAAAAATATTAAATAGTAACATTGTATCTATTACAGAATGATGAAATTACAATTGGAGCACGGGATGGATCCGCTCATGTATTAAGATGTTTAAAAGTATGGTATGATTTACCATCCGATGTATTTTTTGTTGCTATTAATTTGATGGATCGTTTCTTAACCAAAATGAAAGCCAGACCAAAACATATGGCTTGCATCAGTGTATCAGCTTTTCATATCGCTGCAGTTCAAATGGCTCAATCTTTGGATGCTGATCATTTAGTATCCATTTCTCAATGCAAGTGTACCGGAGGAGATCTTAAGCGTATGTCAGGAGTAATACGTAATAAATTAGAATGGGCACCGGCTGTACAACCAATTACATCATTAACTTTTTTACAATTGTTTAATACAATGTTTCATACTGTTGCATCACATTTGGGTATTGGCGATATATATGCCAATGTAGTAATGGTAAATATTGCTAATGTAGTTGTTAATGAATGAAATATTTTTTGAAATATAAGGTATATATATATGTATGTATATGTTTAAGGAATCTGAACTTTTTCTAAGATTAGAAATGATTGCTTGTGATGGAAATTGTGCAAGTTTAAGATCATCTGAAGTAGCTTTGGTCTTACTCTGTACATATTTGGACGCAGCTGTTAAACGATTAGATGCAAATAAAGATGTTACTAATTCTGTAACATCAATGGCTGGTCCTTCTACTATTAATTCATCTGTAACACCTGCGCATCAAATGTTAAGACTGGTAGAATTTGCTGCTGAAGTACAAAAAATTTGCAAGGTATGTCAGATATATATATAGGTGGTAATGATTGTAAGTTATATGAAAAATAAATATTAATATCATATATAACAAAAGATTTCAGACGATAGCTTTGTTTCTACTCATGAAGCAGTAAGTGCTGTTTTAAATAAATACAATGCCCAAGAACAAACGCCTCATAGACAAAGACTCATATGGAGATTATCTTCACGTACAGCTCGTCTTTTGCGTCCGACTGATAAATTTACTTCTGTTTTACCTGTTATTGCTGAACACACTCCAGTTCCATCTCCAAGTAGGATCAGGTAAATTTTGACATTTTATTAAATCAAATAACAGAGTTTCAAAAATTATATACATATATATATATATATATATATATATATATATATATAAATGATAAATATAATAATAATTGTTATATGTTTATATATTGAACATTAAGATCTTTATTGTTATATTACAGAAAAAACCGTAAGTTCTCCCGTCGTCATGGAAACAAAAGGCGTTAGTATATCTCGCTTATACTCGATAATGAACAAGAAAGATCTGTCGTATTTGGATGAATTTGAATTTAAAATAGCATTTTTCAACACAATATTTAATAATAGACATGGTATTGACCTTGCATGTTATTTGGAAATGGAAAATCATTCAATGTAAGTCATTATCTTAACGTGTTATTTTAGAGACACACACATGTGTAATTGTTCTTTCTTTCTTTTTTTTATTTGTTTTCAAATTTTTCTAAAGTTTATTTTCTAACAAAAAATTTATGAATTAGGAAAATATAATATTATTTTGAAGCAATTATATATTATAAAAGTTGTAAAATATTAGAAAAGAAATTAATATAATGAAAAAAGAAAAACAGAAATCAATTTACCTTTTTCTAAAAATGGAAATTGATGTGATATAATATAATGTCGATTATATTTTATAATTTATTGAAAGAATAATTGTTGAGAAAAATTCATTTTAACTTTATATTTGTGGTATATTCTAATAGAGAAAAAGAGAGAGAAAAAGAGTGAGAGAGCGAGAGAGAGAGAGAGAGAGAGAGAGAGCGAGAGAGAGAGAGCGAGAGAGTGAGAGAGAGAGAGAGAGAGAGAGGGAGAGAGAGAGAGAGAGAGAAAGAGAGAAAGAGAAATTATGTAAAAGCGAATAAGAAAAATTTTGCACTTATATAAAATATAATATTACACAAAAGAGTGGTCTTTATAAAATAAAGATACAGTAAAGTATAATGAGGTATTTGATAGGTTTAATAATGATATTAGATTATATCTTTTACCATGATCCTGTAATTGTAAAAAAAAAAAAAAGAAAAAAAAAACCAAAAAAGAACAAAAAATGAAATAAAAATTGTATGAATGTAAACATTTGATTATGTTCTAGCGAAATAGAAAATCTTCTTTAGTATTAAACAAAAAAAAATTGAGTAAATATGAGAATTGTCTTTGTACATAAAAAAGATGATGTTGCTTGGAAGTCTTTATGATACGTGTGTGTTTGAATTGGATGATAAATATACAAATGCGTGTGTATATGATTTTGCAATTGATCTAATAGTGAAATCTGGAGTATTGAGAGCATTTAATTTTTAATATATATTTCATATATTTCAATAACTATTCATATCAAATAAATTCAAATTTTTCATATAGAAAACTTAAACATACAGTAAAGTTTTTTTTATAAATAAATGTTGTATTATAATATAATATGTAATATTATATTGTGAATTGATAATTTTATTTCTTGATAACTTAAAGATATATAAAAAAAAATATAAATATTTATGAATCGTTTAATTCATTAAGCGCGCATATGCATCGTAATACATTTAAGGAAAAAAAATGAAAATTAAATTTTCAATTCTTCATTTCTTGATTTGTTATTAAAAATAAAAATTAGGATTGTTAAATAATTAGAAAATTTGAAAAAGAAAGAATATTATAACAAAGTTAATCATTCATATGTTATTTTATTTATCTACAGATTTGAAATTGCACAAATATTATCATTTGTAAATCTATGTTTATTTATAACCAGGACCATTTAACTCCTAATATATTTGTTTGTGATAAAAAATTCTTACTTATATTTATTATTTGCTCTCTTTATCTTGTGTAAGTATACAAGAAAATAATTTTGTACTGCCAATTGAAAGCGCAAGTTTTAATACTCAATTATCACTTTTTATGAATGTTTGTTATAAGAATACATTTTCTGTTATTAATGAAACACAGTTCTCTTTTATATAATGCATGCAATTAGTTCCTTATTATAATTATTTTATCGAATAACTTTAATGTACAAGTTTCTTATGCATGTGTAAATTACACGTATATAGAAAGAATCATGAAATACCATCCATATTACTTTTTAAGAAGATTAGAAATGTATATTTTTTAAAATAAAATTTTTTCAATTATTTGCACAATAGTATTTCAAAAACTATATATCACATAGCCTGTAGCGTAGTTAGATTATTTACAATAACATTAACTTCATTGTAGGCAAATATTTGACACAATAGAAAGTTTTTAGCAATTAAAATTAAGATGAAGGTATTATTTAAAAGTCATATAAATTACACACACACACATACATGCACACATATACACAATTGTGATATATTTTTGTTATTGAAAATATAATACTTGCGCAGAATTATATTGGTCTCTTTTGTGACATGTGCTATGTACAATAAACAGCATGAATACTTTGTGATATTATTAGGGATACCAAAAAAAATATTCATATATAAGAAAAATTTGTAAAAAATAATTTAGTATAATATATGTATATAAAAACAAATATGTCAGTATACATATTAAATAAAGATAATTATTTTAATTTTATATATATACAAAACAAAATTATATAGCACGAAAATTAATTTATATTAGTGCTAATTCTGAAGATAATCATAATGTTACAATTGCAAAATAACTTGTATTTCTCTCAAGAAATAATAATGATAAAATTTAATATAAAATTGTTCAATATAATTATTGTTTTTTTTTTTTTAATAATACTAACTTATATTTATTTTTGTAATTAATAAATTAATATGCTGTATTTAAATTATTTTATAGAAATTCTTAAGATCTAACCGTTTTATGTTATTGTTAAATTAGTAATATGTGTTATTTTTTAAGGGGAAATGTAACGTGTAATTATAAAATTGACAATGTTATTCATAAGTTTTATATAAATTTAAATATTTTATATTTAACTAAGCATATTTGAACGCACGTAAGTTAAATTAAACTGAATAAACATGTATTCAAATAAATGAAAAATGTATAAAATGTTATCCAGTTTATAAGTAACATTTGAATATTTTAAACAATACTTTTAGAAATATTATTAATCAAATTAATGGATTTGTTTTAACAAGTACAACATTCCATAAAATTGAATTTCAGTTTTTTTGGCACACCTTGGATTAAAATATATGCCCTTGTAAAGAAAAGTAAAAAAGTATGGAGTAACAAAGATGGAAATGTTAATATTTATTAAAACGTCATTTACAATAAAAATTATTTACATAATTTCTTTCTTTGAATTTAATAGTTAAAAATTATTAAATTCTTTTTAGCTTAATTATATTATTAAAACACGTTGACAAAAAGCTGATAAAAGAGAAAATACATTGTTGATCCAAATGATTAAACTTTAAACTCTGAATAGTTGAACAAACATACAGGACAAAGTCTGATAAGATTTTTTGTTTGGAATTGTAAGAGCTGACTCTAATGTTTATATTGTTTACAAATGCTTATTTTCTCATAGATGGCACTCCGAACAGTGTGCATGAATTTTCATATCTCTGTTTGTGTGACTAGTTTGAGTTGTGTGAAATTTTTTTGGTTTGAATCCATTTTAAAAATCGAGATACAATTATAATTACTTTGAATGAGATTTTTTATCTTTACCGATGTTACGATCGTGTTCTTTTCGTAAGCATATAGTGAAGAATTCATTTGCTAATTCAGTGCCGCTATTGGTCAATGAAAGATATCCGTTTCGTTATTGGATGCAAACAAAAGAAGAAATCTTAATTCAGTTGTGAAAAAGATACGAGATTTGTTTTCAAATATTTGAAACACTTTATCGAGACAGATTCTATGACATCTCTTAATCATTAACACCATAATCAAAATAAGATATTATATTTATTGTTTTTTGTGTGAATTTATCCCCTCTTTATACCACATTAATATTAAAACATGTGTAAATAAGGTTAACTCCTCGAAGATTACTTATATTTTGTGATGTCTATTTTAATCCTGCAACTGCTCTGCAATAACACATAAACATATTTCAACAATATCATATTATAACATAGAATATTTGTAAACTTTTTAAAATGTTTAGAAATTGGTTATATCAATTTCTCTAATGCTTAGTGAATACAATGAAAAGTAAAATGCCACAATTTCGGAGGAAAAAATCGGGGAAATCCTTTCCAGTGAAAGTCTCTACCTTGGACGCAGAATTGGAATTTAATTTAGAAGTCAGTGGCGTATCATTTAGTTTCTTTATTTTTATTTATAATTTTTCATTATGAAATATTTTGTTGCAAATATATAAATATATGTTTACAGTGGAGATCCACGGGACGAGATTTGTTTGACCTAGTGTGTCGAACAATTGGACTCAGGGAAACATGGTATTTTGGCCTTCAATACGAAGATTCTAAAGGATTTATATCTTGGTTAAAATTAGATAAAAAAGGTAAATTTCATTGCGATTAACTGTTTAACATTATTAATATACTTTAATATTTGTTAAGATATATGTTGTTCTCCTCATAGTTCAAGATCAAGGCATTTCACAACAGCCCACAACACCTTTTATGTTTTTGGCTAAATTTTATCCCGAAGATGTATCAGAGGAATTGGTACAAGAAGTTACGCAACACTTATTTTTTCTTCAAGTGAAACAAGCTATTTTATCAATGGACATTTATTGTCCTCCAGAAGCTTCTGTTTTACTTGCTTCGTATGCAGTACAGGCAAAGGTATTTTGAAAGATATTAAGGTTTTTTAACGTATGGGATAAAATTGTTTATTTTTGCATGCATAATTGAATTTATCTTTCTTACAATATATAATTTAAGAAAGATAACAACACATGATTTCTGGCAGATAAGTTTAATGTGTATATACATATATATGTATACATATGTATATATATTTGTATGTATGTATGTATGTATATATAAGTACAAGTATATGTAGATATTGATTGGTTTTGATTGTAATTATTACTGCACGGTTGTTAGTACGGGGACTATGATGAAGTTTCATACCGCCCAGGAATGCTGGCCAGTGAAGATCTACTTCCACAAAGAGTCATAGATCAATATCAAATGACTGCTGAAATGTGGGAAGATCGAATAAAAATTTGGTATGCTGATCATCGTGGAATGTCTAGAGATGAGGCAGAAATGGAATATCTTAAAATTGCTCAAGATCTGGATATGTATGGTGTGAATTATTTTCCTATTAGCGTAAGTAACATTTATCAAATTTGATTATTTGCAAAAGGAATAGTTGATTTTAATGAATAGTATTAAGGATATATGTATTTTTCAATTGTAGAACAAAAAGGAAACAAATCTATGGCTTGGGGTAACGGCATTGGGACTGAATATCTACGAAAAGGAAAACAAGCTCGCTCCTAAAACTACATTTACGTGGTCTGAAATTCGACATATTAGCTTCGATGATAAGAAGTTTGTCATAAAACCAGTGGATAAGACATCGCCAAACTTCGTGTTCTTCTCGCAGAAAGTTCGCATGAATAAACTGGTAAAAAAACAGTCAGATGTTGCCAGCTGGGTGAAGGGTTTGATAGCTTTAGGATTGGACGAACATAATAGTGACAAAGCTGCTAACATATTATTTGTTAAGATCCTGGACCTGTGTATTGGCAACCATGATCTATTTATGCGAAGACGCAAGCCTGACTCCATGGAGGTACAGCAAATGAAGGCACAAGCTAAAGAAGAAAAATCACGGTAAACTAAAATATTCATTTTTTCTTAATATAATATAATTATTCTTTTATAATTCTTTTATAATATAATTATTCTAAATATAATTATTCTTTAATTATTTTAATTATTTCAATAGATATTAAAAGTAAATTGATGATATTTTCTTTTTCTTTTTTTTTTTAAATACTTACAAACGTTTTATATCACTCAGGTATGATGCGCTTTAGATATTTGAAGAAATTAATTTATTTATATATTACTAATTTTGTCAAAAAGTTTGAGACAGGTTTCATCCATCTACTTGGATGTGCTTTGGATTAGAAGACCTTAATACAGCAAGAACGTCTTCGTATGTTAGAATATACCAATATAAAAATGGTTTGGGGGCATTGAGAAAATCAGATGACTTATATATACATATTATTTTATTGTATACATTTAAAAGCATATGAAATGAATTTTAAAAAATTCTGAAAGGCTGATTCTAAATTATGCTAGTCACTTTTACTTACAACAGTTAAAATAACAAATTTAATTAAAAGTACTCTTTAATTGTAGATACATATATATTTATCACAATATAATAAATATGTATATTCATCGATACTACATGCTATGATTTACTGAATGTTTCAGGTAATAACTCTTTGCAAAAGAACTATACATAATTCATTCAGGCTCCTGAGTACTCATATACATTATATATATAAAATTTAGGACATACATGTTTTCAATACTGCCACAATGGAATTATTGGTAAATGTAGTTTGCATGCTATTATTTGTTATTTAATAAATTGGCTCTGTCAGTAATTATACGTAAATTTTAAATTTAATGAAATATATAGAAAAAAAGAAAAAAAAAAAAAAAAAAAAGAACTTGAATTGAGAAATTTATAGATGTTGAAACAAGTTTATAAAAAACAAAATAAAAAATTTTACGAGTTCTTAGGAGCCTTAATGAGGATAGTAATCCGAATTCGTTTGTATTAAATTAATTACCGATCTTACTAGGAGACAGGTCGAAAGAAATAAGTTGGCAAGAGAAAAGCAATTAAGGGAAGCTGCTGAACGAGAAAAAGCTGCTATGGAACAGCGTCTTTTACAATATCAAGAAGAAATTCGTTTAGCGAATGAAGCTCTTGTAAGATTATTTATAATATATACATATATATTTGTTTTATAAAAAAAAAAAAAAAAAAAAAAATTGTATATCTCCACAGAGAAGATCCGAAGAGACAGCAGATCTTTTAGCTGAGAAGAGTAGAGTTGCCGAAGAGGAAGCGATGCTTCTTAGTCAAAAAGCATCTGAAGCAGAACAAGAAATTACACGAATTCGGTTGAACAATATGAAAGCTGAAGAGGAGAAAGTACATTTAGAACGGAAAACTAGGGAAGCAGAATTATTAACTGAAAGACTGGTACAAGAATCAGAGAGAAGAGCTGCCGAAGCAGAAAAATTAAAAGATGAATTGTTAAGAGCACGTATTGCTGAAAAAGAAGCTAAGGAAAAGCTTTTAGAATTTCTCAGCAGAAATGCTTATACTGCTGCTATAACAGTAAGTAGAGATAAATTTAATTTTAGATAATATGATTTTATTACTTGGAAAATAATAACAATTTATTTTCATTATAATAGCCTGTTCCAAATCTGTTTCCTTCGACACAAGTATTTACATCAGATTTACAAGCGGATCTTCAAAATTTGCAATTAGATGCTGAACCATTGCCATCTGATTTGACATCATATGATCTTATAGCCGATGGTGATGTAGATCAATTATCTTTAGAAATAGAAAAAGAACGAGTCGATTATTGGGAGAAGAGTAAACATTTGCAAGAACAATTAAGAGAATTGCGATCTGAAATAGAAGTTATGAAAGTTGGTGAGAAACAGTGTGAATTAGATCAGTTACACGAGGAACAGATGAGACTCGGAGAAAATAAATATAGTACATTGAAAAAAGTCAAATCAGGTTCTACTAAAGCTAGAGTTGCATTCTTTGAAGAATTATAATATAATTCTTTTCTTAAAAAATACAAAAGATCTGTATTATATAAAATATGGATTAACGATTTTGAATTTAATTAATGAAACATTCACTCTTTTTTTTATATATATATATCTGTATACTTCCATAGTTTAAAAAAAGAATGATAGAAAGGGCTATATATATATATATATATGTGTATTCTTTTCTCTTAGCAAACGTTATATGTTTGTTAATAATAATGTATTACAAAGAATGATCATTAAGCTACTATGTAAGCTATTAAATTTTGTTTAAACATATATTGATAACTGAATTATATTTTTATAAATTTATTAATGACGAACTCTTAATAATTTTAGAGTTATATACTCTATAAATCTTTTATTAAAAAATGTTATAGAGAATGGAACAATATTATGATGTACTAAAGTTCTCTGACTTATTCTCTTAAACAAAGCAGATATCTCTAGGTATTAAAATACTAAGATATCGATAAATACATATTATATGGTAAATGCGTTAATATTGTATTTTTTATATTTAATTTTTCTTTTAAATTAGTATATATAATTATAGTGAAATCTTCAGTAATGATTCCTTAGAAAATTTGAATCGACTATATTTTTTTTATATATCACGCGCGCGCGCGCGCGCGCATACACATGCATACACACACACACATGTATATATATGTAAAACAACAGTAGATAATATTCTGTTATTTATGCACTTTCCATATTATTACAGGAAATGATATTACATGCAATATAAATGAAAGTATACATTTATTTGAAAATTTAATTTCGTATAAATGATAATTCTTTTTATTTGTTCATATAAAAATATTTATCATTTGACACAGGTCCGTCTATAGTAAGTGCTTTTATAGCAATAATTTACACCGAATAATTTTATAAAATAGGAATTTAAAATAGTATTTCAATAATTATTATACTTTCTGAAAGAATTAGTTTGTCCCATTTTTTTCGCTATCTTTATTTCTTTAATATTTAAAGAAAAGTGCCTTATGATATAAGAACATATGCGATAAAAGGTATAATTATTAAACATCCATACTATGTGTGCTTATATTTTGTTATTATGTGCGTATTATATAATAATGTATTTATAGATTACAATGAAATATCATTAAATGTGTTTTAATGGCCATAGACTGCAATACGTAAAGTAAGAGAAATTTATTAAATTGTCGAGATGAATTATAATTTGTTATATTGGAAATGACTTACAATTCCTACATACATTGTATGTGTGAGCGTATGAAATGTTTGTATGGAGATGAATGTAAATGTGTGGATTTTAAAATACTGTTATATTTTATTATTATTATTATTATTTCTAAAAATCTGGTCTAAAATGTCATATGAATGTATATATATATATATATATATATATATATATTCAAGAGACATTTAAATACTATTATATGAAATTTTTTAAATTATATATAAACTCTTTGACCAATTCATTCATAGTATTACTAAAATTTTGTAGTAGTTAGATTATTCCAATAATGCTTAAATTTTAAAATGTACACATTATTAGTATATGAAAAGATTTAAATTGATATCAGTATTCAATGTATTAAGTATTAAACGATTTATTTTTACTTATATATTCCATACATTTTTTAGACATCCTTTATAAACCATATATTTAATGTCATATGTATTATTTTTTTTTACATTTGTTATATATACTTAATTGAATACAAAAGAAGTGGAAGACGACTTAGTCTGATTAAATTCTTTTGATAATGTTGGCATAAGATATAAACTTTCATTATCCTCAACGTTTGGTACTCTAAAAAATAGATCACGCATCAGTGTTCCGTCGCTAGTAAGTTCTTCCAAATCATTCTTACTCTTAGTTTTTATATCTTGAGAATGTTTTAGATTCAGTTCTATATTAGTGGCATTAAAATTATATTTTCTAAAAATCATTTATGTAAATTATTAATCAAGCTTTTCATAGAAAAATTATATTTCATTAAATAATATTTATTACCTGATATCACATTTTCTATACAAATGATTGAGATCATCTGTCGTTTGAGAGGCTTTATCGATCATTTTATTTTTAAGAAGATTTTGAGCAAGATCTTTGGAATGCAATAATTTCTCTAATCTAAGAGATTCTTTTAATCTTTGAATTTTTCCTATGAGATTACTTTTCTCTATCTCCTTTTGACTAAGAATCTCATGAATAATAACTTTTTCACATAAAAGATCCCTTACATTTTCTACCAGATTCATAAATTGTTTTTCTTGTGCTAACAATTGACATGTTAACAATTCAAGTGCTTGTATAATTTGAATCCTTAAACTTGTTCTTTTTGTCTTAGCTTCAGATAGCTAAAAACATAAAGAAAAGTTAAATAAAAAGATAAAAATCAAGGAAAATATTAATTATATAAAAAAGTATTAATTTTACTTCATATTCTAATTGCTTTTTTTCACATTTATGACGATTAAGAAATATTTCATATTCTTCTAGCAAAGCTTTTTTTTCAGATTCGCTCACGGCTAAATTAGATTTAATTTCATGCATCTCACGAGTGCATCTGTATGTAAATATATGTTAACATAATATTGAATATGAAATATATAATGAAAAAAAAGCTAACTATAACTTACTTTGCCAAATGTTTGATTAATAATGATATACGCTTTCTATCAGCAGGGCATAGATCTTGTATGTGAGAAAAATTATAAGTGCCCTCTTTATTATCATTATTACATTTTGAGCACGTTGTCTTTATCTCTTTTATTTCTTCACTTTCTGTTAACGTAATATACAAATATAATAATATATATTATATATATATATATAACATTTTTTGTATATGTGATTTACCTTCTTCACCACATCTCATATTGCAAAAATTTTGCCGAATCTGCAAAACACGTTGATGGAATTTGGTGAGCCTATGTGCATGGATTTGTTCTCATTTTTTCTTCTATACTTCACAAGTTAATAACTTAAATCAATAACTCAATGAAAAAAAAGATTCGATGAATGAATGAATGATGATGATGATGATGATGATGATGATGATGATGATGATGATAATAATAATAATAATAATAATAATAATAATAATAATAATAATAATAATAATAATAACAACAATAATAATAATAATAATAATTTGCAAAAAAAACGTAATTATCAGATAAGAATAAACACATTTATAACATCACAATATATGCACCTTTTAGACCATTTTACGTACGTAGTCAAGAGATTATTTTCATCGTTTGTTGTATCACACATCGTCAAAGCTTAATTCTCAAATCAGTGTTTTTATTATTGTTTTGTAATATTTAAAAAAAAATATCTTACTTTTCACAATACGAAATATTTGTCTTATATACGACACGTACAGAAAAAAAAAGAAAAAAAACAAAAAGTAAATTTGTATTTGTAATGTTATGCAATTGTTTAATATTTGCTTCAATATAGTAGGAACTACTTTTATATTATTTTCACGACTGATACTTTATATATATATATATATATTAAGAATATATGAAATAATATTCATTACCATTTATAATAAAATTAATTATATATCTTTACAATGAATACAACTATAAAATACAATTTTTTTTTGTTTACTATTATTTACTATTGTTAATGACAAAATGAGATTAATTCTAAGATACAATTATTATCTCATTGTATAAAAAATTAATACTCTAAATGTTCAAGTAACTAATATCAAAAGTATTGTATTTACTGTATATTTGATAATAATCTTTTTATATATATCACAGTTATATGTACAGACCAATGTTTATAGTAACATGTATATATTTATTATGAATATAAATTTTATTTTCCTATATTAAGTATTATTATACCACATATACAGAGTGATGAAAAAAGTTACCAGCAGACTATATTGTGATTGTATTACTTGCTAAATAAACAAAGTCTTTTAAAGTGAATATTAGCAGCCTGTAAAATTTGTTAGTAACTTTAGTTATACTCTGCACAATACATATATATATATATATATATATATATATATATATACATGATGTAATTTATGCACACTTTTCGTTGTTTTAATTTAATTAACATTATTTTTTTCAATACATAACACAACTGAATCAAAGGAAATATTTTTAACACGTTTTAAAAAATCAATTTATCTTGATATTCACGATTAATTATCGCTTTACATGATATACATTTTTTTTCACACTCCATATACACAATACAATATTTTTAATTATTATTAATATATCAAAATAGATTTGTGTGTACAACTTATTGTATACCCAATATTTTTTATCTTTTTTCATTTGTAGAATTTAAGATATATATGTAATCTCAAGTATACAACAAGCTATAGAAAAAAACATATCGTATAAACAACAAAATATAGACTATGAAAGTATGTTTATATGAAATGCAAAAGCATTCAATTAAGTCTGAACAAATAAAACTGGTGAAACAATGATGTAAAATTTATTATTTTTATATAAAATAATAATTTTAATGTGTGACTTGTTTTCTTTGTAATTCCATAATATGAAGTTATTTTAATTACTGTCGACCAGTAGCAGCAGCATTTTGCTGAGCTTGTATGAATTCTGGATAATCTATGTATCCATCCTTATTCATATCATCTACGGCAAGAATTGGATCAATTAAGTTAACCAATTCATCGTCCTGGAATAATTTATCTCCGGCATTTTGTGTTCCTGGATCCTGTTTACTTTGTTCTATATATATATAAATATTAAATTCGTTAACAAAATAATTTAATTTATGTAGAAATATAATTCTATATTTTTATATACTTACCATGCCAATGAATAAGAGATTTTATTAATTCACATCCATCCAATTTGTTGTTGTTATCTGAATCGTGCATTTTAAAATAATGAAATTGCAATTCTTGTTCTGTCATTTTATTTGTATCGATTGGAACTTCCATATGTTCTGCGATATGACTAAAAAAATATCACTTTAATTGTAAATATCACTTTAAATTAATATCAATTAAAAATTATTATTACTTACGCCTTTTCTTGAGCTATATTGGCAGCATTAAGTATTTGTTGAGGTTGATGATTGTGATTGTGTATTTGTTGTTGCTGTATAGGAGCTTGAACAGGTATCTGTTGTTGTACAGGTGCTTGATGAACTGGCACATGTTGTATTGGAACTTGCTGATATGTTATATTGATAGAATAATTGAATTAAATGAAAGATCAAATTAAATAAAATTTACAAATTAAAAATACATGGAAAAACTAATTGATTTTTTTATAATAAAATTCATGAAAAACATCTATATTCGTTATATATTTTAACATTATATTAAATTATCGATTTTTACTTGTTGTTGTGAACCCTGTTGTATTTGTTGTGGTACTTGGTGCATTTGTTGAGTAGGCTAAAAGAAAAGAAATAGATTCTATTAAAAGTAAAAAATATTCTTAAAAATATAATTTATAAAATAACTTTTTTTTTTTCTTTTTCCAATGACAAATATATATATATATAAAAAAAGTTCTGACAGACGAAATGCCAAAAAAAAAAGAAAAAAAAAGAAAGACTAACAATGAATCATCATCCTTTGTATACCATATGTTTCTTCATAATAATGAAATAAATGTACCTGCTGAACTTGATAATGTTGAGGAGGTACACCTGGTGCAACCCTTTGACCTTGTCCAAATGTATTATCTACTCCAAAAAATCCAATAATAAATAACCATAGAGTCCAATACATTTTGAAACACTTTGCTTTGTAAATAATCACTGTAACAAACCGGTAAATAAAGGATCACGTATATTAATAAAAATATATATATATATTTATATAGAAATAATTGATTTCTTTAATTGTGAAACTTTTTAATGATTAGTATAATGAAAAAAAAAAAAAAAAAAGAAAAAAAAAAGAAAAAAAAATACCTTAATTATATATCAAAAGAGAAACAAGAGATTTTGATCGAGTATATGTTATTTTCTTTCTCAACAGAATTAACTACCGTTCAGGTTAAGTTATAAAAACAACCATACAGATCTGACGTGGACGTATTTCATGATAACGCTAGTATTTGTTAAGGTTGGTACTGATGATAACTATTGGATATCCTGTCTTAAGTTATTATGCGTAGATGTCGTTCGAAATGTGAATGATACCGATTTCTAAAATTACGTTGAATGTTGAAAATATATTTCAATATTAAATTAATAATGTTAAAAGTATACTGAGAGCTTTATAATATGCGTATGTATTAATGAATATAATGAATAAAACAATGTGATTTTAAGCTGACATTAATTAAATGTTGCAAAAAGCGAACTATGGACGTCGTCGCGGAGGACGCCGAAGGATCTTTAGATCCTCGTATACAGGTGACTCATTGATCACAATCGTTTGTAACATTATTACATTATTTATTGAAACTTTTGATTATTAATTTATATATTCTACGATTTTATTTCTTTAATGTCCAAGCCAATATACATTTGATGTATACAAAAAAGAAAGGTTATGTACTTTTGACATTTAAGTAACGCCCGTACTACTTTATTGCCTGGTACAATGGCCTAGTTATCAATATTTTTGTTTTGTCTTGTTTCCTTCCCCCCCTCCCTCTACCCTCCCGTTCATCACATATAATTATTAAGAAAATTGAATCGATTCTTAATCTCAATTAATTCTAATTCAATATTATTTTCTATCATTACGTAATTTTGTATATATATATATAAATGACAAAAATTGTTTCCCTATATAATAACATTTAAGATTGACGATATAATAAGTCTTCTGTTTTTAGATCGAGTTGGAGAATTTAAACAATGCAACAGATGATATTAATAAACTTGAGACTGAATTAGATGTGAGTTTTTAAATGGATAAGATATTTAGATCTTTGATTTGTTTTTTTTTTTTTTTTTTTTTTAATCTATTATATTTTATAATATAGGAGGCACATACCGCGTTTAGACAATTGCTTAATGAATTAACGAGGCGATTAAAAGAGATAGCAGACAAATTAGGAATTACATGTATCGAAAAAGCAAGATGTTATTACGAAGCTTTGGAAGTAGCTCATTTAGCACAAGTCAGTGTTAAAATATAAATGTAGATTAATTTACGTTTATAAAAGAGAATTATTTTAATATTTATTTTATTTCGTTTAGGTGGAATGCCAGAAACAGGCACAATTATTTCAAAGAGCTAACGAGATACATGCGGCTGCTAAAGAAACCGTGGCTTTAGCCGAAATAAGGTTTACATCGCATCAGCACGAATGGAAGTTTGATCAAGCTTGGCAAGATATGTTAAATCATGCAACTATTAAAGTAAAATAGTTTTTATTGTTGGATCTCTTATATTTTAATATAGTATAATAAGGTTATATTAAATAAATAAATGTATAGGTTATGGATGCAGAAAATCAAAAAGCAGAATGCGGTAGAGAACATCATAGAAAAGCAATGATATTTCAAGACGCAGAAAAAAAGTTATTTCAGTTGGAAGAGAAATATCGTCGTTATATCATTAAGTCAAGGCCATACTTTGAGGTGAAAGCTCAATGTGATCAAATGTTAACAACGCAAAAGGAAAGAGTAGAATATTTGCAGAAAGCAATAAAAGATGCAAAGAATAATTATGCTTCGAGTCTTCGTATTTTAGAAGATATTAGTAATCAAATACACCAACAAAGAAAGGATAATGGTATCATTGATACAAAAAAGCTGCCTATGTTCATAATATTATATGTTGATGGCAAACATATATTTTATTACTCCTTTTTGTAGATATTCTTGCTAATGGGCCTAGAGAACCAGGTGTAGGTGCAGAATTGATTACTTCAGGAGATAATATAAAATACAAAATGGACTTTAAGAAAGTAAATAATAAAAATATAATCTCTAATGTAGATAATGAATATCGCAAAAATATTCAACACCAACAAGATAATGTTAGTATAGGAAATCTTCTCTCTTTTTTTTTCTTTTTTCCTTTTTCAATAAAATTTTATCGAACTGTAGTTTGAGATTTATATTTTTTATATATAATTCTTTTAATTTCAGAATGATTTTAAGATTATATCGTGTGCGGGGCATTTAGGTCGAAGGTCGGTAGATGGTAGCGAAGCTACATCCAATCAATGGGAACTAGAGTTACAAGCTAGTATGGAAAAATTAAATTCTGCCCCATTTAATAATAAAGATTCTGAGAATGATGGCAGAAAGATAAGAGAGATCTTTAAAAAAGAAATATGTGATACGCATTTAAGAGATAAGAACGATACGATTCATTTTATAGATAACTTACAATGTAATGCTTCGAAAAGTGAAGAATCTACTGAACATACATCGAATTTATTGAAAAAACTATCTACAGATGTAGAAACAAATAAAACATCCATTGATGTACCATCGGTATCAAGTTCTATAAGTTTGCAATCGTTATGTCATAATTTTATTAATTCAGTTCAGACAAGATCAAAATATATCAATGATATTACTAAATCTTTATATAAGGAATCTATTACTAAAAGAGATTATTTTGTTGAACCAGTAAAAAGTTCAGAAAAAGTAGTTAATTTAAATGCATCTACGTACCTACCAAATAGAATCTCAGAAATTGATTTAAGAAATTCAAAATCTCAAAGTGACACCAAAACCAATGTAGAAGATATTAAACATAATTATAGTATGCCAAAATTAAATGATTTTACAGAATCTAATGTTCATGATAAGGTAACGACAAATGTTACGAATCTTAGTAATTTAAAAAGTTTATCAACATCTATTTGTTATAGTGCCAATTCTTCTCCGATTAAATCAGTAAATTTATTTTCATCGAAAAATAAACGATCGTCAAACAACGAGTTACATAGAATTCAAAGTAAAACTACATTTGAAAGGAAAAAATCATCTAGCATAAAAGAACTGCCACTACTGTCATTAGTCAGTATTCCAACAATATCATTTACAACGCGCAAAGAAAAAAGTAGTAGCATGAACGATTTAAATTCTAAGTAACAAGAGAAAGTGTAAGTTAATGATTCTAACTCGATCTCCATATTTAATTAGAAATATGTATGATAATAATAATAATAATAATAAATAAATAAAAAAAAAAAAAAAAAAAAAAAAGAAAAAGAAAAAAAATACATATATATTAACAAAACTAAGTTCGCTAACAATTGTTTGCACAGGAAAAAAAATAGAAGATATAAGGTATTTCCAGTGATGTATTAAAGTTGTGATGAACTTTAGAAAAAATTTACATAGAAAAAAAAATATGATTATAACATAATTATAATATTATAAACATAAATAAGAGTCTCTGATTTATTTAGTTTCCTATAAAACATGTAATTTTACATTTGAAGATAAATCTATTAATTGATAAAGATATATATATATATATATATATATATATATATATATATATGTATGTATGTATATATATATATATCTTTATCAATTATATATATATGCTCAAAATGAAGAGAATGTTACGAATAATTCAGGAACAGGGTTTAATATGTGAGGTGCTTATTAAGTATATAAAAAATTAATATTTTACACAATTAGTTTTAATTATAAGAGTTCTTTGTATTTATTTGTATGGATATATATACATTATGAATCTAAAATTTCACATTTTGTAGATATTGCCAAATTTTATTAAACAATTTGATATTTTTTAATTTGTTTTTTATTTGTGTTAAATTTAAAATGTTGTTTATTTCATGTATGACTTATATTTTACTTACACAATATTTTTTATCTTTTCTTTTTTTTTTTTTTTTTTTTTTAAATGAAAGCAGTTTTTAATTGTGCAAAAATTTAAAATTCACGCATTATCGAATCGACATCGATATATTGTTTGCAAATAATCGATCTATCGATAATGTTGAAATATTTAATTCTAGTAAGCATATGAGAGTGCCGATACGCCGCATAAACGTGCTTTTTGTTTTGTATAGTCTGATGAGAATTAATTATTTTAATTTGACTTGTCATTTTGAATATAATGGATAACACAATCGACAGCTTAAAGGAGAACATAAATTCTACTGTAAGTATTAAATATGTTATGTTTATTTCAATATCATTTAGTTCAAAGGTGACTAAGGATTTAGTCAAGGTTATACCGTCTATGATATATTGTTATTGTCTAAAATTTAACAACATTATGATATTATTATTTAATATTTTACTTGTTTATTTTCTTATTACTGTCTCTATATATGTATATTTTTTATATATAATTTACAAAATTTTTGAAGTATGATACAGAATAAAATTACTTATTATTATCAAATAAAAGTACGTATAAATATACGCATACAAATATTATTTATAAATGATTATTTATATAAATATTTATATATGTGATTTATGAATTATATATATATATATATATTTATATATTTATATAATTCATTACATATGAATATGTATGAATAAAAATTTATTTGAATTAATTCTTATCCTTAAATTATAAGATTATTTTTTTTTTTTGAATATATCAAATACTTTGATTACAGGATAATAATGATAAATTGGATAGATTGAAGAAGTCTTATTTGATGCTAAAACAAAAAGTTTGTAGATCACAGTAAGTTGTCTTGTTCAATGAAAATTAAACATTATATCACTTATATTTATAATTTATTTTTGTATATATATATATTTTTTTTTTATTATCATTATATATAACCAAATGTAATATATATTTTTCAGTGAATTAATTAAACTATACAATGATAAATTGAAAGAATGTGAACGCTTGAAAATAGATTTAGATTTAGCACAAAAGGAAACCAAAAAAATGACGACTAATTATAATGGAACATTGGCAAAAGTTATTAAACTGGAACTTGTAAGTAATTTATTTTAGAAGATGTATTAATATATATATATATAATAATTGAATATTATATATTATTTTATTAGCAAAATACAGAATATAAGAAAAAAATCCAATCTTTGTCGAATACTATAGTAACTCATGAAACTAAAATTGCTGGGGATCAACAGCATTTGCAACAGTTAACATGTAAATTGAAGGAATTAGAAGAT